GTGTGAGTGAGTGTATGTGTGTGTTTGTGTGTGTGTGTGGTATGAGTATGAGTGTAGTGTGCATGCAAGTGTGAGTGTGTATGTGTGTATGTGTGTGTGTGTACCTGAGCACACATTCCAATTCCCAGTACGTGTTGCTCACACTCCTCCTGGCTGTCACCTCCGGGCTGGTTCCAGAGGTCACTGGGCCAGGCCTGTGCTCACACTCCCTAGGTAGGTCACCGGATGGGATACTCTCCCCGACACACAGACAGTCGGCGCTGGCAGGGGGTTTCAGAGAGCTGGTCCGAAGCCTGTGTTTACAGATGGGAAACCTGGGGCCCACAGCGTAGGCTGCTCGCTGGGTCAAACTCCGTGAGAATCTCTGTGGGCCGCAGATTGACTTAGTTTTTAAATCTAATGCTATCTTCCTTGTATTGCATTTTCATTTTGTTAAATGTTTCCCAGTTAGATTTTAATCTGGCCTGGCTGCACTCTGGAATGTTGGGTAGTGTGCTTGGCCCCTCTGATGTAGAAGAGTTTTAGGATTTGGATTTGTTGGCTGGAGGGCGCCTCAGACACCACTGGTCCAACCCCGGTATTTTACAGGGCAGGAAACTGAGGCCTGATGAGCCTGAATGGGTTGCAGAGGTGGCTTTGAACCCAGGTGCTCTCTGAGGGAGATGGGCCCCATGGCCCGGGAAGGCCTTGTCACCTCTGTTGCCTGGGTCACTGTTATTTTCTCTTTCCTTACCTGTAAAAATTCAGGGGTTGGGTTAAATGGCTTGGGAGGGCCTCTGAGTCCAGTCACACAGCCAGTTAGGGGGCAAGCTGAGACCAGAATCCCATGCCCAGAACCAGCACTTGGTTCTTTCTACCAGGTACTGAGGGACCAGGCTCTCAGAACTAGTCAGTCTGGCATAAAGAACTCTGACGTGGGGCTCAGGAACTTGGGGCCCTGCTGTTGGCTCAGTGGGTGACCTTGGGCAAGTCATTTCCCTTCCTGGGCCTCTTCTATCTCTATGGCGTAGACAGTCTGTAAGATTCAGTGAAAGAGTTGAAGCAGCCGGCCTTGTTCTTTTGGGCAAGGGCAAGGATCTGTGAATGAATGAGGATGAAAACCCAGAATTCTGTGAGAGGAGGCAAGTCATTTTATCTGGGCCTCGGTTTCTCCATCTGTAAAATGAGAGGATTGGCCTCTGAGGTCTTTTCCAGCTCGATATCTATATCCTGGAATGGACATTGCAAAGCCCGAGCTGCTGCTTATAAGCGCTCAGCTCCCGACCTAGACACCAGGGGTGTTAGGATTCAAAACCAGGGCTTTCTCCCTGCTGGCCATCTCTTGTTGAGATCCCAGGAGGCATCAGAGCCGGGAGATCCCCGGGGATCCAGGCCAGGTTGTATCAGATGTGCCCATATTGATGGTCTCTGATCATCTTCGAGCTGTAGGATTCTGTGATTCTGTCTTGCCTTCCTTACCCCAGTGTTGTCGTTTTGTGTGTGTGTGTTGTGTGTGTGTGTGTGTGTGTGTGTGTGTGTGTGTGTGAAGAAATCAGCTGGTTTCACGACATCTGGTTAAAGGTGCTCAGCCGCAGTCTGTGAGCTCAGAGGGCACAGAACCCAGGTGTTCGGACCTCTCCTCCCTCCCTGCCCAGCCCTGGCATCCTCACCCCTGAACAAAGGGACTGTTCGGGAGTCTAGGAGTGGTAGGCTGGGTTTGGGAGAGCACTGAATGAGGCTTGGGAGGGCATTGAAGGCCCTGTCCTGTCCCTGTGGGCGAGGAGAAAGCTGTTAGACCAATATTGTCTTTGTGTGGTTTTTGGGGAGAGATGCTCTAGAGGTCTGGAAAGGGGGGCAGATGAAGGCAGTCGGGTGCGGGGCGGGGGAACAAGGCTCCCCAGCGTGGGGAGCCTGCTTTGGGTCACAGACTCTGGCGTGTGTGGGTCATTGCTGGACAGCGCCTGGGGGATGTCGCTGATGGGGAGAAGTCTTGTACGGGGCCTGGCACGTGCGTGTTTGTGGACTGGCTCAATTTCAGAGCAGGGATGAGAGCCGGGGCCCCCTGCGTTCAAGTCCCCTTACCCCATGCTGGGTTTTAAGGTTCAGGCTTACGGTTTGGGGACAAGCATCTTGGCACCGTGACCTTGGCGTCAGAAGGGACTGGGTTCAAGTCCTCCCCCCCCCAATACATGTTGGCTGGCTGTGGGACCCTGGGTGGATGTTAACGTCTTACCGCTCCCAGGAATTTATAGTCTTAGACAGTATTTGCAGCTGTTGCTGTTCAGTCATGTCTGACTCCTCTTGACCCCGTTTGGGATTTTCTTGGCAGAGATATTGGAATGGTTTGCCATTTCCTTCTCCAGCTATTTTTACAGATGAGGAAACTGAGGCAAACAGGGTGACCTGACTTGCTCAGGGTCACACAGCTCGTGAGTGTCTGAGTCCGGATTTGAACTCCCAGAGATGAGCCTTCCTGACTCTAGGCCCCTGTACTCTATCTGCGGTGCCAGTCTGCATCAGTGGAGGGAGGTTCCATACTGGGATGAGTTCCCTATATTGATGAAATGACAGGATACCCCCCAAAACAAAACAAAACACAAGCCCGACTCTCAGTTGAGGAAAGGAAGCCAGCTCCCTTGGTGATGGATGGAGCTGCCCTGGGCTTGGCCGGGCGCCCATCTGTGCAGCCTGGTCAGGCTCCCAGGCCCCCCGCACCAGGCCCTTACAAGGGCATTGCCTGATGTGGGGAGGCAGGGCCGCCTCAGCTGGTTTCGGCTGCCCGGGATGGAGAGAAGCGGGGGAGAGGATCCTGTGGCTGGGGGGTAGGGAGTGGGATTCTAGGTGAGTAAGGCTGCGGGTCTCGGCTGGAAAAACAGGATTCGAAGAGGAGGTGTTCACGGCCCCTCCCGAGGCCGACGACCGTGCTTTCAGAATTCTGGATCTGTTCGCATGGAGGGGCCCCAGGGGTCTTTTGGTCCCAGACCTTCCCTGTGTGCACAGGGAAGCGGAGACTCACTGAGCTGAATGAGTGGTCCCAAGGCTGGGCCTGGGGCGTGGGGAGGTTAGACAGGCTCTCCAGCTGTCTCCTTTGGGTGCCGGGGTGGCTTTGGGTGGGCGGCACGTTAGAGATGCTGGCCGACTGATTGGTAGGTGAGGGCCTGGAAGCCTTCTTTGGGCCTCGGTTTCTCTAGCTGTAAAATGTGGTTGGAAAAGATTATCTAAAAACCCTCCCAGCCCTGACATGCCCTGTTCTGAGGCCCCTTCCCAGCCCTGACATGCCCTGTTCTGAGGCCCCTCCCAGCCTTGACATTCCTTGTTCTGAGGCTCCTCCCCGTCCTGGCATCCCCTGTTCTGAGGCCCCTTCCCAGCTCTGACATCCCCTGTTTGCAGGCCCCTCCTTCCATAGTGGAGTGTTTAGGGTACTAGACTCGGACTTAAGAAGATCTGGGTTCAAATCTCCCCTCGGGCACTGTGTGATCCTGGCCAAGTCACTTAACCCCTGTGTGCCTCAGTTTCCTTTGTCTGTAAAATGAAAGGTTCTCTAAAGGTCCGCACTCGATCTAGATGTGGAACCCTAGGTTCTAGGTGGCACCCTGTAGGATCCTGGATCCTGGGCCCCTGGGGACTAGGCTGGCAGGAGTCTGGGATATCAAAGCACCGCCTGGGCCCAGGAGTGGCCTGCTTGGGGGCCTCTCCCTTGGGAAGAGCCAGGGGTGGCCGCATTTGCGTTTCCTGCTAGTGCCAATGCCAGGGCAGTGCTTTGCCAGCGTCTGAGTGAGGTTTCTCTCATACTGACGTCTTTAATGGCCAGGAGGAAGGCCAGGAGCCACAGACAGCCTCCCTGGCTTCCTCCTTGAAAGTGCCCCGTGAGTCTTGCTGACGCCCTGTCGGGGAGGGCCCCTGCTTGGGTGGTGATGCAGCCCCCAGACGAGCGCCCAGTCTGGTGAGGGGCGATGAGACGCACAATTAAGTCAGAAAATGATGCGGTGCCTAGGACGGCCAGACAGGGGCCCTGATCATTCAAGTGCAGACAGCTGCTGGGGCAGCCGGGATTAAGGACCCGGCAGCCTGGGCTGGCAGCCTGCCTGGGGCCAGACCTCTGAGCCTTCGTGTCCTCCTTCGTAAGGCCAGGGGCCTTTGGGACTCCTCCCAGCTCTGGGTCTTGGGCCCTAAGTCCCCCTGCCTCCCTGAGCCTGGGTTTCTTAGAGCGGGTGGTGCCCACGGCCCCTTCTCATCCCTCCCCATCCTGTGAGGGTGGAGCTGAGCCAGGTAACCCTCTAAGGGCGTTAGGGAGAGACAGCTCACTTTGCTTCCCACCCAGTCTAGCAGAGCCATCGCTGAACCATTCTGGGCCTCAGTTTCTTCCCCTGTAAAATAAGGGGGCTGGACTAAGTTTGTGATTGTGTGACCCTGTGACCGAGTGAGGTCTGTTCTGGCTCCGAGTCCCATGAAAACCAGTTTTCTTCTCGGCTTGGCTCAGCTGCAGCTTCTTCCTGGAAGCCTTCCTGGATTCCCACCCCCCATCCACACTCCCCACCCCCCAGCTACAATGGCCTGCCCCTCCTCCAACTTTTCCTAGTGCCATGAGACTGGAGCTCTGGGTTGCCCCCGTCACTGCCCCCCTAGAAGGGACCACCAGAGGCCATCAGAGCCAAGCAGAATCATGCCTGCAGGATTAGGGAGCAAGGTGGGAAGGGATAAGCATTTATTAAGCACCTGCTGTGTGCCAGAGCAGGGGTGGGGAACCTGCCTGCTCAAGGCCACGTGCCTTGTGACGGAGCCCAAGTTTCACAGAACAAATCCTTGTTTTAAGGAGGTTTGTTCAGGGAAGTTTGGATTCAGTCAGAAGGCCACACTTGGTACTTCTGAACGTTTTACGAGGGTCTTATTGGATCCTTACAAGAATCCTGGGAGGCAGGTTTTTATTATTTCCATTTTACAGTTGAAGAAACTGAGGCAGGTTAAGTGACTTGCCCAGGGTCACATAGCTAGTAAGTGTCTGAGGCCAGATTTGAACTCGGGTCTTTGTGACTCTAGGCCTAGCACTCTCTCCCGGGATCATAGATAAATCTGGAGCTGGAATGTCCTTAGAAGCCATTTAGGCTAAACTCATTTTACAGATGAGGACACTGAGGCCCGGGAAGGGAGAGAAGTGACCTGTCCAAGGTCATACAATTTGAATTCAGTTTGTCTGAATGTATGTGCATGAAGCTCCTTGAGGGAAGTGAAGGGCCCTTGTTTATCTCAGGATCTCCCAGGCCCAAGCCAGTGCCTGGCACGCCTTAGGTGCCTCCAATCAGGATTCTCCAATCAGGGTTCTTCCTGAGAACCCGCCTTCCTTGTGGTAAAGAGTGCCAGCTCTTCCCTGACTGCCAGAGGGAGGGCCAGCTGCGAAAAAGGGGGTGGAGGGATGGTGGAGGGCTCGGGGATCCTTGAAGGCCCACACAGGAGCCCCCAGCCGCCAGATGGAGACAGGAGAGAAGGTGGAGGTGCTGGGGAGAGTGGGACCCGGGGTCTGTGTCGTGGGCTACTCCGGACTCGTGGTCAGAATTTAGCCATACTGACTGCCCGTTCTCAGACCCCTCTGGAGTTGAATGAGAGCATGGATGTCTCCGAAGCGCTGGAATGATTTCTCATGTTCCTGGAAGCTCTGACATCCACTGTTCTAGGGCCCTTCCCAGCCTGACCTTCCCTGTTCTAAAGCCCCTCTCAGCCCTGGCATTCTCTGTTTTAAGGCCCCTCCCAGCTCTGACCTTCCCTGTTCTAGGCTCCTTCCCAGCTCTGACATTCTCTGTTCTAAAGCCCTTCCCAGCCTTGGCATTCTCTGTTTTAAGACCCCTCCCAGCACTGACCTTTTGTGTTCTAAGGTCTTCTATGCTCTAATATTCTATGTTCTAAGGACCTTTCTAACCCTAACATTCTGTGTGTTTAGAATAGGCTGTGTGCAGATGGGAAGGGAGAGGGTCAGTAAGTGCCAGGCATGCCCCCACGGCAGTTGGCAGGTCCCTGATGCCCCCTCCTCTCCCACCAAAGCTGCTGAGCCCCCCTCTATTCCTTACTCTCTTGTCTTTGTCTGTTCCAGAGATTTTGACTCGCTCTCCAAGGACAATGTCTATGAAAACAACCGGCTGGTGAGTCCCAGACAGATGGGGCCTAGAACAAAAGGGGGAGCGGGCGGCGGGGTGCCTGGGAACCTCGTGGGATGGGGAAGAGAGCAGGGCAGGCCCGCGTTTCAGGCCATCTCCTGTCTCCTTCCAGGCCTTCGAGGTGGCGGAGCGGGAGCTGGGCATCCCGGCCCTGCTGGACCCCAACGACATGGTCTCCATGAGCGTGCCCGACTGCCTTAGCATCATGACCTATGTGTCTCAGTATTATAACCACTTTACCAGCTCCAGCCAAGGTGAGTCCCCCGACTCCTCCTGGGGCGCCCCTGACTGGGGTCACTCACTGCCCATCCTGGAGCCCCCCCTGCCCATTTCCTGCTTACAAACACTTCTCTTTATCCCTGCCCCCACCGTGGAGTGTGGGAGGGAAGGACCTACTGTGTGCCGGACACTGTGCTCATCCTTGGGGGGACAAAGAAAGGCCGGAAAGGACCCAAGGCCACTGGGGGGAGAGAGGACCGATTATTTGCTGAATTGGGGGTCACCCCCCTTCCTCCTCCCTGAATCAGGACAGTGTGGCAGCCAGCTGGGGTCATCAGAGGTCATCCTGTCCAGCCCCCTGTCCAAAGCATGAATCCCCCTCACCTACATCCGGACAGACAGTCCATCACTTGAGATCATTTCTTCTTTTGGGCTTTTGTCACCTTTTCCCACTTCTGGAAGTACTTCTGGAAAGTACGCTGTCTCTGGTGTCGTGATGGGGCCTGGGTTCAAATCTCACCTCTGATGCTTACTCTGGGCCAGTCACTTGGCCTCCCTGGGACTCAGTTTCCTCTTCTGTAAAGTGTAGCCCTAAAGGGCCTGTGAGGTCCCTTCTAGCCGTCTGGCTCTGCCCGTTTTCTTCAATGCAGCCCTCCACGGCAGCTCCCCACTCCCCAGGTCTCAGAGGCCATGGCCTTCACCATCTTCCTCTGCGGGTGGAGCGTTCTTCCCCTGGGATGGGGAGGAGGGGGTGTATCTGGACTTCTAGACCTTGGGGCTCCTGGCCCCAGGCCATGAGCAGGAGTCTGAGGTCTCTGCCAACAACCCGTTCCCTCTCACTGTCTTTCCCCAGCCAGCGTCTCTCCACCCAGGAAATACCCAGCAGCTCCTTCCTCTTCCTCCTCTGAAGCAGCTCCCAATGCCGACGCTGAAGGTAGCAGGATCCAGGTGGGTCAGTGGGTGCCCTCTCCTTGGGGCCATCTGGGGAGTCGGGAGGGAGGGAGGGAGTCTTGAAGGAAGCTCCCCGGGGATGGGGTGAGGCCAGAAGGCCTCCTGCCCCCCAGGGTGAGGGAAGCCAGCAGGCTCACTTCCCCTATTCCATATGGGCCAGGGAGCTCAGGACGTGACAGTCACAGGGGAATTCCACTTAGCTAAAAGCAGGCTTGGCAAAGGACGCAGTGGGTCAGGGCCAGGAGTGCCCGCCCGTAGCCAGGGCTCCTCTGTCCTGGCAGCCTAGCCAAGCCTTGGACCCTTCTCAGAGCAGGCTTTTAAATACACAAAATAAAACGTGGCGTTTCGGGAAGGCTGCGATCCCATTGAAATCCAGTTAGTGAAATGTTTCCATCAGTTCCCCAACCCACAGGCTCTGAGCCCTGGCCGGGTCCAGCTTCAGGGGCTCACTTTGCTCTTGTCTCTTCTCGGGGGGCCTCCCTCTGCTTCTTTAGTGCCTGAATCCCCCCAGCTCAGGGGTCACCTTCCAGCTTCAGACCTCCATTGTATGCATCTGTTCCTCCCCAACCTAGTTCTCACGGGAGGCCCTGTGTGGTATAGTGAAGCAGGAAGACCTGCCTCCGGCATAGGCTAACTTTGTGATGCCCACTTCCCTTGTCTGGGCCTCAGTTTCCTCATCTGCAAAATGAGGGGGTCCCTCCCAGCCCTAGAGCTGGGGTCCTGCCTCTGCGACCTTGGACAAGTCATGTAGTGACCTCCCGTCTCTGGGCCTCAGTTTTCTTATCTGTAAAATGAGGGGGGGTGGACTTTCCAGCTGTGGACCTGGGGTTCTCACTTCACCCCTCAGTGCCCCCCAGGCCATTCTCTGGGTCTGCGTTGGTAGCGGAGCACTGCTCCTCCGTAGGCATGGGTCCAGTGGCCTTTACTCCCCCGCCAGAGATGCCTGTAGTACCCCGTGAGTTTTGTCTCATCCCCTCGCCAGACTGCACCCCATGAGGGCAGGGACTGTTTCGACACCTTCCTGCCCACCCCCAGGAGGAAGGCGATGTATGTTTGTAGAATGTGCTGGCAGGACCCCGGGAGGAGGGCTGGGGGCAGGCCATGGGGCTCTGACCTTGCCCTGGGGGGCTGGCTCTCTCTGGCAGGAGGAGGAGGAGGGGGTGGCCCCTGAAAGCCTAGCGGAGCAGGGCTCCCGCGGCATCCCCAGCAGCTCCTGTGCTGCGTGTCAGCAGCATGTCCACTTGGTGCAGCGATACCTGGTGGAGGGCAAGCTCTATCACCGCCAGTGCTTCAGGTCAGTGTGGGGCAGCATGTATCCATGGGCAGGCGACCACCCACTTCCTGGCCGTCCAGCCTGGGACCACCGTGGAGGTCCTTGGCTACGTGTGGTGTCTCTGGGGATGGAGGCTCCCGGCTGCTTTTTGGGCCGTGCTGAGCTTGGAGGCCCAAGGCCTCAGTTCAGAACCTGACTAGCCATGTGATATTGGTCAAGTCCCTTCACTTCCCTGGGCCTCAGTTTCCCTATCTGTAAAATGAGGGCCAGATCTCCTCTGAGGCTCCTTCCAGCGCTGGGTCCAAGGTCCCAGGCTCTGCTAAAGGAGGGGATTGGCCTTGATGACCTTGGAAGTCCCTTTGAACTCCGGATTGCTGATCCCCTGATCGAGGCCCCTGGTCCCCAGCTCCTGGATCCAGGTCACTGCCCTGGCTCACTGGTGTCTCTCTCCCACAGATGTAAGGAGTGCTTCAGCACTCTGCTCCCTGGAGCCTACAAGAACGGGCCAGAGGCAGGCACGTTTGTGTGCACCCAGCACCGGGGCAAGCGGGGCCCCCTGGGCCAGACAGAGGGCAGGCCCAGAGCGGCCCCGCAGCGCCCAGAGGTGGCAGACAGGGCCGAGACAGCCGGCATGGGGGAGGATGGTGAAGACCCTGCTGCCTCCAGGAGGGACCCGGGGGAGCTGAAGCCCATGGAGCCCCTGCCTCAGCCTCTGTCCAAACCCCCGCTCCCCAGTAAGCCGCAGGAGCTGGCTTCTCCACCGGCCGGCCGGCCGACTCCCGCCCCGAGGAAAGCCTCGGAGATGTCCACCTCATCTGCCAGCCCCCAGCCTGTCCCTCGACCCCGCTCCAGCGTGCAAGGGGAGAGCCCTGGGGAGCAGGGCGGCTGCCTGGTCAATGGTGAGTGGAGGCCACCTGGACACCTTTATGCCGAGCATCCTACAGATCTCTGTTAGCGCCTGTGGTCCCTACCACGGCACCGTGGGGACAGGAGGGTACGCGTTGCCATCTCCATGCCAGCGACAGGGAAACCGAGGTGTGGGGAGTGGTCCAGAGTGATGGGGTCAGGTTGTGCACCCCGTGGCGCTGAGCTCTCAAAGTGCGGCTTGGTTTGGTCACGTCCTGGGTATAGGAGTCTAGCTGGACTCCCCATTCTCCCCAGGCCAAGAATCGAGCCCACTTTGTTTGGTGGGGGCAGGGAAAAGGTCCTTGGTACAAAGCAGCAGCACTTGGAGTTTTGGAGAGTTGAGTGAAGGCGGGATCTGGCGCCTGGGGCCCAGGGCCCAGCTTGGAGTCAGCGGGCTCTCCTCCCTCCCCCTCCTCTTTTTCTCCATTGCTCCTCCCCCACTACCTCTGCCCCACCCCCCATTTCTCTGTTCCTTCCTCCTCTTTCCTTCTCTCTCTGTTCTGCCTTTCTCCTCCCCTCTTTCCTCTCTTCTGTCTCCCCTCCTCCTTTCTTTCTTCTTTCTCTCTCCTCTCTGTCCTCCTTCCTTCCTTCTTTCCTTCTCTCTCCTCTCTGTCTCTTCTCCTTCCTTCCTTCTTTCTCCTCTCTGTCTCTCCTCCTTCCTTCCTTCCTTCCTTCTTTCTCCTCTCTGTCTCCCCTCCTTCCTTCCTTCTTTCTCTCTTCTCTCTGTCTCTCCTCCTTCCTTCCTTCCTTCCTTCCTTCCTTCCTTCCTTCCTTCCTTCCTTCCTTCCTTCCTTCCTTCCTTCTTTCTCTCTCCTCTCTGTCTCTCCTCCTTCCTTCTCTCTCCTCTCTGTCTCTCCTCCTTCCTTCCTCCTTTCCTTCTCTTTCCTCTCTGTCTCTTCTCCTTCCTTCCTTCTTTCTCCTCTCTCCTCCTTCCTTCCTTCCTTCCTTCCTTCCTTCCTTCCTTCCTTCCTTCCTTCCTTCCTTCCTTCCTTCCTTCCTTCCTTCCTCCTTCCTTCCTTCCTTCCTTCCTTCTTTCTCTCTCCTCTCTGTCTCCCCTCCTTCCTTCCTTCTTTCTCCTCTGTCTCCCCTCCTTCCTTCCTTCTTTCTTTCTCTCTCCTCTGTCTCCCCTCCTTCCTTCCTTCCTTCTTTCTCTCTCCTCTCTGTCTCCCCTCCTTCCTTCCTTCTTTCTCCTCTCTGTCTCCCTTTCTCTTTCTTTCTTTCTTTCTTTCTTTCTTTCTTTCTTTCTTTCTTTCTTTCTTTCTTTCTTTCTTTCTTTCTTTCTTTCTTTCTTTCTCCTTCCTTCTTTCTCTCTCCTCTCTGTCTCTCCTCCTTCCTTCCTTCCTTCTTTCTTTCTCTCCTTCCGTCCTTCTTCCTTTCTCTCTCCCTTCCTTCCTTCTTCCTCTCCCTCTCCTTCCTTCCTTCCTTCCTTTCTTCTTTCTCTCTCCTCTCTGTCTCTCCTCCTTCCTTCCTTCTTCCTCTCCCTCTCCTTCCTTCCTTCCTTCTTTCTCTGTCCTCTCTGTCTCCCCTCCTCTCTGGCCTCCAGTCTCCCTTGGGTGGAAACCCCACATGCTCGGTTGGCCCTGCCCGCCATGACCGTATTCCTGTGGGAGGCTTTGGCGCCCCCTGATGGTCTCTCAGGGACAGCTGGCCTGTGGCCAAGTCTCACTTGTCTGTTTCCAAGTTGAAGGTCAGCGCTTGGGGCAGCTTGAGTGGGCCCTGGTCTAGAGGTGGAAGGAGCCTTTGAAGCCTTCCAGGCCCCCCCACCCCACTTCATGAGGCCCAGGGAGGTTCAGTGACCCAGACAGAGAGCTGGGAAGGGGCCGTAGGCTCAATGGTCCAGCCTCTTCATTTTACAGAAAAGGAAACTGAGGCAGATAGAACTGGGAAGTGACTGGCTCAGGGTCACCCAGCTAGTAAGTGTCTGAGGCCAGATTTGAACTTAGGTCTTCCAGATGCTAGGCCCAGCGCTCTATCCACGTGACTCCTTCCCCCCTAAATTATTTTGTATTGCTTTGCATATAGTCTGTATTTACCTCTACGTATACTGGTTGTCTCCCCCAGTAGAATGTATGCTGCTTGAGGGCAGGAATTGCTTTACTCGTCTCAGAGTCCCCAGTGAGCCTGGCACACAGCAGCTCATGAATGGATGACCCAGTCCCACCCCTCCCACCCCCATCTTACAGATGAAAAAACGGAAGCCCAGGGAGCTGTGATTTGTGTCAGGTCACCCAGCTAGGCTCACAGGCTCACAGTTTGTGCTGGAAAGGCCTCCTCATGCAGCTCTTTTCCCTGCCAGACGAGGACCTCGAGAGTGTGAGGCGGCTCGACAGCTCCTGGCCCTGCGCTCACTCCCTCTGAGGGGCCTGTACAGGCCTCCCCCTGCCTGCTCCTCTCCAGCCTCTCCACCAGGGCCCAGTAACAGGGGTGATGGCCAGCAGCCAGTGGCTTGCCAGGCTCAGATGGCCTCCGACCCCATCGCTCCTGGGCTGAGATCCTGATTGAAGCTGTTGCATGGGGTCGCTGGGATCTAATGTCCCGCTCCCAGCTGGTTTTGTTTTTGGTTTTTGGAACCCTTGATTTCACTGATGGAGGGAGATCCTGGTTAGGAGATGGGGCACCTGACCTGTGACGTGTGGACATAGGAAGTTGCTGGGGGGAACTGAGGTGTTCACTAACTTGTCTAGGGCTCCTCAGTCAGCGTGGCAAGCGTCAGGCCTAGAACCCAGGGCTCTGGGCTCGGTCCACCGCGTCATCGTGTGGCAGACATTGTGGCGGAAAGAGCCGGGCTTGTCCTGAGAGGCCCGCTCTGTGTGATCTCGGGTCACTTGCTTCTTGTCCATCTTCAGAGTAAGGGGGCTGCACCGGGTGATCTGACGCCTCATTTGCATGCCCACAGGCACAGTGCTTCCTCTGAGCTCCCACCTCCTAGCGGTGCCAGGCCCCTTAGCAGCGTTGTGGGATCTTGGCTGATCGAGCCCTTTCTATCCCTGTCCCTCCCCACTGATGCAGGCCATCCAGTCCCTTCTGGTGGCCGGAGTGGGGGGAGTGTCGTAGCTGGTGCCCTTCTCCTCAGGGCAGAGGAGGGGAGGCAGGGGACTCAGCTGGCCTCCCTCCCTCTCTCCTCTGGGAGCTGAACTGGGACACGGACTCCCCGGTGCTTCTGTTCAGATCTGGGAGGGGAGGGGGTGGACTAAAATTGGTTGCCTGGGACCTAGATTTCATTTCTCACCTGCACTGTAGATGAGGTTTGCTCTGGTGACATCTCTTTATCTTGGCTTCCTGTGGAGAGGTGGCTCGTCTAATCATGCCACGAGGGATGGTGGTGGAATCCATCCTTGTCGGACCAGGAAGTTACTATAGGGATAGAAGCCCATGGCCTCACAGGGGAGAGAGCCCCCTGGACTCTCCAGGAGATACGGGCTTCTTGGCCGCTGGGGGGGAGGGGTCAATTCACCACTACCAATGAACACCTGTCTCTTTCTTACTTTCCGCCTAGGAAGGGTGCATGAATCCAGCCCCCCGGTGCCCAAACCAAGAGGGACACCCAAGGCCTCAGATAGGTATGCAATTGACCGGTAAGGGGAACTAGTCCCTCAGGTAGCTGAGCCCTTCACCCCTTCATAACTGGGGGCCTGGGAGAGACAGGGCACAGCTAACAAGGAAATCCTCTCCTCCTGTTGGGCTCTGGACTTGGGGACCTGGGTCCTCCTTTGAACCCCGGGAACATTTCCTTCTCGTGTCTGTTCAAGAGACAGACAGGCTTATCTGGGAGGTGGAGAAAACCAGGCTGGGAAGGGCCCCCACAGCCCCTGCGTGGCCCCTGCCCCCCGTCTCAGATACGAGCTCTAGCCAGCAGGTGTCAGGAGACCAGAAGGACTCGGGGTACGGGCCCAGTGATGGACCTTGCTGGCCAAGGTCCAGTGGGCCTTGGCCTGAATGAGGCTCATCCCCCCAAGTGCGGCCCCCAGCACCCCCTGAAGACATGGAGGTCTTCAGGTTTCAGCCTGGGTCAGCAGGGAGGGGTGGGTGTGTCCACGCTGATGAAACAAGAGGGCGATTGACAGGTGTGCCAGCCACGCATCCGGCCAGGGTCAGAGTTGTGAAAGGGAGGAGGAACCAGCTGGTTAAGGTGCCTCCTTGATAGGGTTCCTCAGCGGAGGCTGGCCGGGGGGGCGACCGGGCACTGTGGTCAAAGGGACTGGGGGTGTTTAGACTCAGGAAGGACTTGGTGCAGCCGCCTTCAGGTACGTGAAGGGACGTCGCGAGGAGGTGGCATCCCGCTGGCTCTGCTTGGCCCCAGAGAAGGGACCTGGGGGCATTGGGCGGCTTTCTGAGAGGTCCAGATGCTCCCAGACCAGGGCTGGCCAGCCTCGTGTCAGGGAGAACTCCTCCTTTGGTCCCAGCTGGGCCAGCTGCCCCCGATGGCCTCGGGGGAGTCCTCATGCCTTCCTTCTTGTCCCCCTTATTGGCCTCATTGTTCCTTCCCTTCCTCGGTTTGGCATTATGCCGCAGTCTGCTTCCCATCCTGCTTGGACATTACTCTTCTTCCAGCCAGACTGGCTTCCTTGCTTTTCCTCACGCACACACTTATTTCCCGCCTCCATGCCTTTGCTGAGTCTGGCCCCCAGGCTCCCCTTCCTCACCTCTACCTCTGATTCCTTGGTTTCCTTCACGAGGCAGATCCAGGGCTTTCCAGATCCCCTCTTCATCACTCAGGGTTCTAATTAGTGTGCATCCTTTCAAAGTTAGCTTGTATTCATTTTGTGAATGTTCTGGATAAGGGTAAGGGCCTGGTCTGTGAGGCTTTTGGTGTCCCAGGTGAGAAACTCCATTGTACCAAAGCGGGGCGGTGCCTGCTTAGGACTTAATAGTCTTAGAGAGTCGCCTAGGGTGAGAAGTTAAGTGCCTTCCCCAGGGTCACACAGCCTGTATATGTTAAGACGTGGAGCTCGAACCCAGGTCTTCCAGGATCAGAGGCCAGTTCCCAGTCGACGCCTCTTGTGTTGTGTCTCCCGACAGAATATAAGCTGCTAGAGGGCAAGGACTATAGCTCATATTTTGGTCTTTTATTCCTAATGCCCGGCATGTAGTAGGTGCTTAATAAATGCTGGTTGATGGATGGCTTGGTTTCTGCTTCCTGCAGAGCTGCAGCCCCTAAGAAGAAGGACCCACCGTGGATCGCCCTGGTGCAGGCGGAGCCCAAGAAGAAGCCAGCCCCTCTCCCACCCGGCAGCCGCCCAGAGACTCCCTCGCGGCCTGCAGAGGGAGAGGAGAGCCGAGGAGAGCCGAGGCCAGCCGCGCGAGAGCCCAAGCCCTACAACCCCTTTGAGGATGACGATGAGGTGGACGAAGCAGCAGCAGCCCCGCCTGCCCCAGCCCCTGCCGAGCAGACCCCCAAGAGTCTGCATCCCTGGTACGGCATCACCCCCACCAGCAGCCCCCGCACGAAGAAGCGGCCAGCTCCGCGAGCGCCCAGCGCCTCCCCCCTGGGTGAGTCCCTGCCGTGCTCCTGCTTCCTGTGGGTCGTGGCCTTCGGGGCCCTGTCTCCTGAGCTGGATGGAAATGAGAGCTCAGACCTCAGTAGGTCCTGGGCTTTGTGAGCAAGGCCCTGTTCCCTTGCCTCGTCCAGGGCTCTGTCCCCATGGCTGCCTGGCGTGGCCAGTCTGGGGCTCTGTCTCCGTGGCTGACCGGTGTGGCCAGTCTGGGGTTCTGTTCCCTTGGCCCCCAGTGTGGTCAGTCTGCCTCTGAGCAGTGTGGGGAGATCACTCCCCCGGGGGGGGCCTGGGCAGTGTCTCCTTGCTCCAGTACTATGACAGAGCATCCCCAGGCACTCACACACCCTCCTTGTCCAGCCTGGGGAGAGAAGGCAGCCCATGAAGGTGGACAGTCTCCAAGTGTGGCTCCTCCAGACCTTGTTCCATTCGGTTTGGGACCCAACAGGGTCACTCACTGATAAGAGGAAGGGCCAGAGGGCCAGACTGGGGCAGAGAGGGGAAGCTGCATGAGGGCAGGCTAGGGGTCAGTGGAAAGGGAAGAAATCCATGCAAGCATGCACTGTCCTGGGAAAGGTAGTGAGTTCCCCATCACTAGGTGCCTCCAAGCAGAGACTGAGTAGTCAGCGGCAGAAGGAATTCCAATATGTTCTGCTGTGTACATTGGCCTAGAGGCCCTGTGAGGCCTTGTCAGGCATAAAGCCCCTCCTGAGCCCCCCTCCCACAGATATTTTCATACACTTCTCTCCCTCCATCTCTTTCTCTCTCCCCCTTCCTCTTCCTCCCTCCCTCCTCTCCTCCCTCTGTCTCTCTTTTTCTGTCAGTTTCTCTCATCTCCCCAAGTTCAAATCCGGCCTCAGACACTTCTTGGCTGTGTGACCCTGGGCAAGTCACTTCACCCTGTTTACCTTGATTTCCTCATCTGTAAAATGAGCTGGAGAAGGAAATTGCCAAGAAAACCCCAAATGGGGTCAGGAAGTCAGATGGGACTGAGCAGTGACTGAACAACAAAAACATTTCTCTCTCTCTCTGTCACACACACACACACACACACACACACACGCACGCACGCACGCACGCACGCACGCCTCCCTCAGTGAAAGAGCTGCCCTCCACTCTCCTCCCACAGTGCTGTGAGGCGGCTCACAGTCGTGGCTGTACCTGTTTTTTTTTTTTTAATATAAATTTATTTTTAGTTTTCAGTATTCACTTCCACAAGTTTTTGAGTTTGTACCCATTTTTCACAGAGGGACGCTGAGTCTCAGAGTCAAGGCTGTTCTGTCTCCCCCTCTCCCTGCCCTTCCCCCGCAGCACATGGACCTCCACTTCTTGGGTATCTACTCATAACATACATAAAGGTTGTGTCTGCCAAGAGAATGGTAGCTCACTGAGGGCAGGGTTATTTTATTTTTCTGTCTTTGTATCCTCAGGGTCTGGCCTCCGGCCTAGCAGCTAGTAAGTGCTTAATAAATGCTTACTTATTAGCTTCCTGATTGGTAGAATTGAATTCAAAAGTCAGTCAACAGCTGGACATTGAGGGTACAAAGACAGAAATGAACCGGTCCCTGCCCTCAGGGGGCTTCCATTCTCTTCTAGTTGCAGCTTTTCCCAGTACCCCACAGTCCCCCACCATTCAGATTCATTTGGATTTCCTTTTTTTTTTTTTAACACCTTATGGCATTTTTTATTTTTACATCACCTTTATCATTCTCCCCCTGCCCCACTCCCACCCCAGATCCTTGTAACAGATAGAAAAGGAAAAAAAGTCCCGCACAGCTCCCCTAACCATCAGGGTTCTGGCAGCATATGTGATATTCCACAGCCGTAGCCCCCCACCTCTGCAAGGCGGGATGGAGCCCAAGCTGGCTATTGTCATGCCGGCTCAGCAAGCATTTCTTAAGCACTTGCTGTATGCTGGGCAGGACAGAGACCCAACCCAGGCCAGTCCCTGCCCTCAGAGGGCTTCCATTCTTTTCTGGTCTCAGCTCTTCTTACACCACCACACTCTTTGGCAAAGTTCGCACCAATGGAAGGGAGGAGGGAGACAGTTTGCCGGGGTGGGCGATGGAAGAATTTTTAAAGTCAGGGTTTTTAAACGTGGTAGCCAGTAACTCATGAGGGCGTGACAGAGCTGGAGCGAGGCATGGGCAGTCTGGTGGGGCCACCCGCCTCTGTCCTGGGGGGTGAAGGCCCTAGAACCCAGAGCTGGCCCTCCCAGGTCCAGCCCTCCTGCATTCTGTGGCCGTCTGCAGGCAGGCTGGACCTTCTGTATCCATCTTTGTTCCCTGCCTAGAGCCGGGCGGGACCTCAGAGGCCCGCTTTACAGATGAGGAGACTGAGGCACAGGAAGGTGATTGCCAAGTGAACCCCGGTCCTCTGGCGCCTGAGCCAGGGCTCTTCACACTGTCAGGCCGCCTTCCCCAAGGTTCTGGGCATCGCTCGCCCCCAAACCCTGGACTTCTCACCCTCTTCATTCCCCTCTTCTTGTCCCCACAGTTCTGCACCCTGGCGGCCTCCCCATGCCTCGACTCTCACACTCAGAGCCACCCTCTTCGACCCCATCGCCGGCCCTCAGTGTGGAGAGTCTCTCCTCGGAGGGCTCTGTTCCGGCCCCTGGCGAGCTGGAGCCCCCCGCGGTGCCCAAGAGCTCCTCCGAGCCCACCGTCCACGCCCCTGGGGCCCCCAACAGCCTCTCGGCCTCCTCTTCCCTCTCCTCCTCCGAAGACATAACCCAGCCCTGCCTGGACCGGGCCCCCCCTAGCCCCTCCGCCAGCCACGCCAAGGGCACCCCGGGCCCGCAGCCCGCCCAGCCTTGCGTTGGGGCTGCCCCCACCCCGCTCCTGTTGGTCACAGAGAGGAGCCCTCCGTCCCCCCAGCAGCAGGTGAAGGTGAGTCTGGCCCTGGCCGCTTATCTCCTCCCAGCCCAGGCTGCTCACCTGAAGGCGGCCAGAACTCTGGGCCTGGCTCTGACCGAGAAGACCCTGCCACTTACCGTGTGCCCTTGGGAAAGTCACCGTCCCCCCGGGTGCCTCAGTTTCTTCATCTGCCAAATGGGATGACGATAGCACCTGCCTGTCATGCTTATGGGGGGCCAATGAAACACTGTAAAGTGCTTGTGATCCCTCGGGTGTTGTAAATGTCAGATGTTGTTCTTAGCTCTAGTGGGTGTGGGGTGCTAAGGAATCACAAGTAATGTGATTCCTGTTTTATGAGATCCTGTGAACGTGTGCATGGCAAGGCTGCTCCAGCGTCCCCGAGTCTGACGGAGATAGAGCCTGCTCTGGGGCTGGGGGGTCAGACAGCTGGACTCAGGGAGGAGGACCGGGGTCTAGTCCTGCTGGTGCACAAACTGGCTGTCGGACCCTGGGCCAGTCACTTAATCTCTCAGTGCCCCCTCCCAAATCTCTAAGACCAGAAGTTACTGAGGAGCTGCTATCTGTGTAGGCGGAGGGAGCTTCCACACCAGGAGCTCCCAGTGCTGGAGAAATCACAAGTTTGCACCAAGAAGGGGTTGGGTGTTTACAACCTGCGGTCTGGGGCTGTGGGGGCCTGGGGGGCGATGGGTCAGCACCTGCATTTTACGGATGAGGAGACTGAGGCCCAGCTGCTTATGTGATTCAGTGCTCAAGGGCACAGCCTTCCCTCCCCTCGGCCATTCATTCTCTCCCCACCGCCTTGGTCTCTGGTTCTGTCTCTTTCTCCCTCCTCCCTCCCCGCCCTGAGACAAGCCCTGAGGGAACATGGCCTGACCACTGGTCCTGGTTGAGCAGACCTGGAAGGTGCTCCGACAATATTGACCGAGCTGAGTGCCCGGGCCAGGTGCCTTTGACACTGGCCAGGGACGCCCTGGGGGTGGGGCAGGGGGGCGAGGGTGGCCCCCCTGTGCAGGCTGGGCCTTCCTCCCTCCCGGGGGTCAGACTCGGTGCTGGGGAGGTGGAGGGGCCCTTGGGGATCAGAGGCCGCCCCCCCCATTTTACTGAGGAGGAAACTGAGGCCCTGGGAGGGGGCCCCCTGGCAGTAATGACAGGATCACAGATCCCTTGTTCCTCGGGCCAGGCCCAGATTTCTGTAGTCCTGTGTGGGGAGCCTTCTCCAGTCTGGGGTTCGGTTGTTCACCCACAGTGAACAACCTTTTAGGAAGGAAGGAGGGAGAGAAGGAAGGAAAGCTTAATTTAAGCATCCACCGTGTGCCAGGCACTGTGCTGAGATATGTGCTGTCCACATGGTATCTCACTGATCTTCCAGACAACCTGGAAGGAAGGTGCTAGCGTGACCTCATTTCACAGTTGAGGAAACTGAGGCAGGAAGGCTAAAAGTGATTTTCCTGGAGCCCAGAGAAGCTGGCTGTTGAACCCCCAGGGGCCCCACATTAGCCGTAGAATGCCCCTCTGCAGCAGGGCTGGGCACTTTCCCAGGTGGGAGGTGCAGGGAGGGGCCCCCAGAGAGTGCCTGCCTTGAAGCCAGCAGCCTGGGAAACCTCAGACCGGCCGGGTCAGCGGTAGCTGCAGGAAGGGGGTGGTGCAGAGCCAGGGCACCCAGAAACTGCTGGTCAGAGCAGGGTGGGGGCCCAGAGATTCCCAGGGGTTGACAGAAGACCAGATTCGAATCCTGCCTCTCCTACTTTCCCCTCCTCCTCCAGCTCTCCTACCTGTGTGACCTTGAGCAGTCAGTCCATGAGCATTTATTAAATGCCTGCCATGTGGCAAGCTCTGTGTTAGGTGCTACGGGTATAAGCCAACACCGAATAGTCAGTGCCCTCAAAGAGCTTGCGTTCTCTCAGGAGAGACACCACACTTGTAGAATAAATAGATGAATGAAAGCTAACTTTGGGGGGAGGTGCTGGCAGCTTGGGGGGATCAGCTGATCCTGGAGCTGAGCTCAGGAGGGAAGGAGATGGGTGCGGGGTCAGCCTGGGCAGAGGTGGAGTTGGGAGATGAAGGGTCCTGGGCCAGTCACAGCAAGGCCAGGAAGCCTGGGCCAAGGTAGGGGGGGAGATGTCAGGTGGCAGAGGGCAAACAGAAGAGGCTGTCATTGGCTCTGGAGGTAATAGGGAGCCCCTGCAGCTTCTGGAGCTGGGGAGTGACCCAGTCGGATCAGCTCTTCAGAAGAACGCCCCTGGATCTCTCCAGAAGTTAATGTCTGACCTGGCAGGTCAGTCGCCACCCTGGTCTCTAGCCTCACTCCCAGCCAGCTCCTCTTTCTGGTTGCTTTCAGACCTCCTGCAAAGAGAACCCCTTCAATCGGAAGGCGTCCCCCATGTCCTCCCCAGCCACCAAGAAGACCCAGAAAGGAGCCAAGCCTGTGCGGCCACCTGCCCCTGGACACGGCTTCCCACTCATCAGACGAAAGGTATGGACTCATCCCCGGCCTCCCGGCCTAGCAGGGTCTTCTAGGAACCACAGGCCTGGAGCGTGGCCTCAGAGTGTGTCCGGGCCATGCTGTGCCTGAAACGAGAATGAATGGATGGAAGGGCATTTATGAAGCCCCTACTGTGTGCCTGGTGCTGTGCTGTGCTGGGTGGGGGAGACAGCAGCCAGGGTCAGCTCCAGTTGCTGGGTGTCAGCCAGCTATTAACTCTGCTGGAAGCTAGATTCGAACTCGGGTCTTCCTGACTCAGAGGCCAGCTCTCTCTCCCCTGGCCCATGCCGCCTCTCACTTAGTCTCCTCTTTCCTCCTTTTGTCTCTTTGCTCTTCCCCCTTTCTTCCTCCTCTTCCTCTCATTAAGGATGCATTCATTTCAGAGTGTTCTAGTGCAGGCCGGACGTGGGTGCTAGGCTTGCCCTGCTCTTGTAAAGCCTCCCAGGCCTGTGGCTGACTCCCAGGGCTCAGTGACCAGACAGATGGTGGGCTGGGCAGAGAAGAGGGCCTCCCCCTCCCCCTCCCCGCTTCCTCTGACTGGGGCCTCACCTGGGGCCTTTTGGGCAGGTCCAAGCTGACCAGTACATCCCAGAGGAGGATCTCCATGGGGAGATGGACATCATTGAGCGGCAGCTGGACCATCTGGAGCATCGCGGGGTGGCCCTGGAGGAGAAACTCCGCAGTGGGCGGAATGGTATGTGGGGTGCTCTGGAGGAAGCGGGTGGTGACAGAGGGGAGGCCCCATCCCCGGGAGCTCCTTGGCCCAGGCCTGGGAGTACTGTCTGGCACGGGGAAGGAGGGTCATGTGGGGCACAGGATTCCCTCTCCTCAGCCCCTTCCCAGCCCATTTGGGGCAGGGTGACCTTCTGAAACTAGCCGGGCCAGTTCGGCTGCTTCCAGCTGCTCCCCTCACCCTCTGGAAGGGAATTCTGGGATCCACAGGCCTCACGGGGCTGCACGTTGACCCCTGCCCAGGTCCCCAACCCCCCGAGCTCCGTGGGAGGGCCCCTCCCCAGTGGCAGCATCCCTGGGGCTCAGGACGTGTGCTTCCCCTTGCAGACAGCCATGAAGATGACCTTCTGGTGGACTGGTTCAAGCTTATTCACGAGAAGCACATGCTGGTCCGGCGGGAGTCAGAGCTCATCTACGTGTGAGTTCATTGGTGGTGGCGGCCGCTTCTCTCTCCCTTGGGTCCTCCCCTGAGCCGCGGGGCTGGGAGGGAGCATCCCTGGGCCTCCGAAAGCAGGCCGGGGGCTTCCAGGCCAGAAATACCCCGAGACCTAGCGGGAGCAGAGAGCTTTCTCTGAAGCTATCTCTCCATCTCTGAATCTCTCTGCTGCAGCCAGACACATCTGCCATCTGTAGAACTTGATGATTTAAAAAAAAAATTTTTTTAAATTAATTTATTTTGATTTATCAACAATCACTTTCATAAGCTTTTGAGTTTAAATTTTTTCTCCCCCTCCCTCCCTACCTCCCTCCCCAAGACGGCACACAATCTGATATAGGCTCTACATATACATTCCTATTAAACATATATTCACATTAGTGATGTTATAAGGAAGAATTAGAACCAACAGGAGGAACCGCCAGAAAGAGGAAACAAAACTCAACAGAAGAGAAAAAATAGTAGCAGATAGTCTGCTTCGATCTGCATTCAAACTCCATGGTTCTTTCTCTGGATGTGGAGAGCATTTTCCATCATGAGACCTTTGATGTCTTAGATGCTTGTATGGCTGAGAAGGGCCAAGTCTATCAAAGTCAGTCATTGCACAACGTGGCTGTGACTGTGTACAATGTTCTCCTGGTCCTGCTCACTTCACTCAGCATCAGTCCATACAAGGCTTTCCAGGTTTTTCTGAAGTCAGCCTGCTCATCATTTCTCATAGCACAATAGTATTCCGTTACATTCACACCACAACTTGCTCAGCCATTCCTCAATCGATGGGCATCCTCTCTATTTCCATTTCTTTGCCACCAAAAAAGAGCTGCTGTTAACATTTTTGTCCTGTGGGTCCTTTTCCCATTTGTATGATCTCTCTGGGATACAGCCCTAGAAGTGCTGTTGCTGGGCCAAAGGGTACGCACAGTTTTACAGCCCTTTGGGCATAGAACTTAATCATTTTTGTTTGCCTGTTTTTACGTCATCTTTACTTGCTTCCCAGAGAGCCAGGCCCTGGATAGGGAGAGGAACTGGACTGTGCTGTTATTGGTATGGGGAACTCCCAGGGGAGAAGACCCCCTTTACTAATGCACATTGCCACCTACTCTGCAGCATCTAGCCTTAGACTTTGCCTAGAGCACTGAGAAGTCGGAGGCAGGATTCAAACAGGTCTTCCTGGCTGATTTCCCACACATGCCTTTTGTTCTTTGTAACAAAGAATAAGAAGGAAGGTGGGATAAACCGTTTCAACGGAAGTAGCCAGGGCACGGACCCAGCCTGACAGTGCACGTATATGGCGTCCCACACCTGTAGCCCCCCACCCTTTCACAGAAGGGCAGCTGCTGGGTTCTTGTCCCTGCCTCCAGGAGTCCCCTCCAGCTCTCAGCCTCTTCTCTCCATCCCTGGCAGCTTCAAGCAGCAGAACCTGGAGCAGCGCCAGGCCGACGTGGAGTATGAGCTGCGGTGCCTTCTCAACAAGCCCGGTGAGCACGGCCCCAGCTCATTGCTGGACAGCCTCCTGCTGAAGGATGCCAACGAGCCTGGGGCCAGGCTGGGAAAGGGGCGGCTTGGACAGGGCAGCGTGGCGAGGGTCAGGCCAGAATAAGTGGGAAACCCGGCTGGAACCTCCTGCTCCAGCGTGTGGGCAGAAAAAGGATGGACAGAAGTAAAGAAGGCACTGGACCTAGAAGTCAGGAAGACCGGAGTCATTCCCCCTAGGCCACGCTGCTTAGTTAGATAGTGAGCTCTCCATTGCTAGAAGTATCCAAGGGTAGGCTCAGAGGACCACCTGTCAGAGGTGTTGCTGGAGGGATCCCCGCTTTTCTCCAGCGCCGATTAGACCAGATAGTCTTTGAGACTTCTCTTCTTGGTCTGAGCTTCTGTTTTTCTCTCCTCCCTCCATGGGCAGATAAGGACTGGACGGAGGAAGACCGGGGACGGGAGAAGGTACTCATGCAGGAGCTGGTGACCCTTATTGAGCAGCGCAACGCCATAGTGAACTGCTTGGATGAAGACCGGCAGAGGTGAGGTGGGGGCAAGGAGAGCAGATCTTTGCTCCTGTTCTAGTGGCTGGGGGTGGGGGGGGTGAGGAATGGTTAACCCCTCCCCTCATCCCCTCCCCCCAAGTAAAACTAGACTTCCTGAGCCCCCACCAGTGTGTGCCTTGCCTCTAGTCAGTCAGAGGTGACAGTAGGCTCAGTGCAAAGGCATTTACTGAAAGGGCATAGATGGAACAGAATGACAAGACATCTCCTTGTTCCCTCCTGGTCCAAGGTGATTGGAGCCTGGCATCTTTTGACCTTTTGCTTATATATTCTGGCCATGGCTTCTTGAGGAAGGTAATAGATGGTGCAGAGAGAGGGAAAGGCTCCTTCCTCTCATTGCTCGCAGGGAATACAGGGCTGAGTGTTGGAGACCAGTGAGGCATCACTGCTCTTTACTGATTCCCAGGAGTCTCCTGGAATTGTCTGCCAGGCTCCCAACTCACAGAAAAGGGCACTTCCAGGCAGTCTTGAGACACTAGGACCAGCCAGCACCCACCACAGGCTCTTCACACTGGGCATTGTTCCTCTATTTCCTAATCTGTTAGAGAAAGGGGTCGCACTCATACGTGACCTCTGACATTAATGTTGAGTTCTAAATTCTGTGATTTAATAGCTTAAAACCGTACTTAGACTTTTGAGACATTCTGTATTTGTTGAAAAGCAGCTGGGTGGCACAGTGCCCAGGGCGCCAGGCCTGGAGTCAAGAGGACTCACTCACCTTCCTGAGTTCAAATCCGACCTCAGACACTTACTAGCTGTGTTACCCTGGGTGAGTCACTTCACTCTGTTTGCGTCAGTTTCCTTCTCTGTAAAATGAGCTGGAGAAGGAAACCGCAAACCGCTCCAGTATCTCTGCCAAGAAAACCCCAGATGGGTCATAGAGTCAGACACAAATGAAAACAATGAAACAACAGGAAATTTTTTTAATGAATGAGTAATCTGTGCGAGTTTTATTCCTTCTCTTACTCACTGACTCTCTCTCACCCCGTCTCATTCTCATTGATCTCAGGGAAGAAGAGGAAGACAAAATGTTGGAGGCCATGATCAGGAAGAAAGGTGAGTGGGTGTCAGGGGCTCCCATTCCCTGGTCGGGACCCCGGGGGTCTTGTTCCCCGTCCCCATGGGGAAGCTGGTGCCTGGCTGCCCAAATCTGGTGCTTACATTGGTCCTAGAGTGGTCAAGGGTCCTGAGTGAGTCTGGGTGTGGTGGCCTTGGCGTGTGTGTGTGTGTGTGTGTGTGTGTGTGTGTGTACACACATATTAATACTATTAATACATGTATGTATATATGTTTATTGTGAATGGACAGAACACTGTGTCTGGAGGCAGGAAGACCTGAGTTCAAATCTAGCATCAGGCACTTACTGTCTGGGTGACCCTCAGTCTCCTTATCTATAAAATGGCGGTCATAACAGTGCCTGCCTTGCGGGCTTGTTGTCAGGATCCAGGGAGATGATGCTGGTAAAGTACCAGTACAGTGCTTGGCATAGAGAAGGTGCTATCTCAGTGCCGATGCCCTTCCTTGCCCCCATATTGAGGCACAGAGTACATACAGGATCAACACAGGTAGAACTATGTAGTGATGGGGACAGGGCCTGTGATGCCAGCTGGGCTGTTGGGTGGCGGGTGCTTTTCACCCTGTGGGGCTGATGGAGAAGCGCATGAATCCACACGGCCGGTAGCAGCCGCCTGTCTCTACCCTCCCTCCTGCAGAGTTTCACAAAGAGGCAGAAGCCGGGATGAAGAAGAAAGGCAAATTTAAGACCATGAAGGTGCTGAAGCTGCTGGGAACCAAGCATGATTCCAAGAGCAAGGCCCCCAAAGACAAGAGCTAAGAGCAGCGTGGCAACATGCACCAGCTGACCGCCTCCACCTCTGCCTCCACCCAGCGGTGCCGACTTCCTCCCCACGTGGGCCGGGCTCTCCCTTCCCTGAGGGGGGGCTTCCAAGACCAGGCAGAGGACTTCGGGAAGGGGTCCCCAGGCAATGCCTTCTCCCTTCTCCCTATCCTCAGGCTGAGCTGGGCCAAAGAGCTCCCTCTTTCCCATGGCTCTGGGTGCCAGGGAGTATTTATTCAGCGGTGTTTTTATGGTTGTTGTTACTATTATTATTATTATTATTATTATTATTATTATTATTATTATTATTGACTGAGCAGGCAAGGAACTGGGGTGCACCCTGTCCCACTTTACTCTGCCCCACCCCTACCCAGCCCCTCTCCTCCCCACTTCTAGAAAGGGTCAGGCTTCCCGTGATTGAGGCGGTCGGTAGCAGCACCCCAGTGCCTCCATGGCAGCAGAAGCATGCCCCCCCCCCCACCGCAGAGGCTATTTATTAAATGATCAGATGGGTTGAAGTTCAGTCCTGACCTGCAGACGGGGGCTGCCTCGGTTGGTCTCATGGCAGACGGAAGAATAGAAGGGGCTACCAGGAGATTCCCTTCCCACAGTGCTAGAAGGCGACAGGAAGTGGTTCCTCGCAGGCAATACCAAAAGCCCTCTCCCGTCTCTTGATACCTTTTCAGTTCTTCCTGTACCAGACAGCTCCTGGCCAGAGTCCGGCTCTCGCCAATACCTGTCACTTGGCTCCTAATTAAGCACCCGTCTCCACGTGTCACAGCTGTAGTAGATGGCTCGTTCCACTTCTTTAAGAGGAGGGGAGCTTCCAGAATGGATCCTTTGCAGAAGGGGAAGGGTCCCCTGTACTCCGAGAAGTTCCCATCTTGTCCTGCTTAGCTCCTCCAGAGCCAACATCTTCACTCCCCACAGCTGGGCTGGCCCAGTGACCTCTAGGGCCCTGCTGGCGCCCATAGAGCTCAGCGAAAGGTCACACTGTGTTATCTTGGGGGTGTCTTTTCCCCAGAATAAATGGAACCCAATTAAATTTGCCACCCAGCTGAATCCCCCTGGTGATTTGTCCATCAAGCTGCTTTGACCTCTGGCCTGCACTCCTCATCAGGCTGTTGGGCAGCTGTGGTTGAGGGAGCTCAGCAGTGCTCAGTCCACTCTCCGCCCGTCCCAAGCTGAGATGGCTGTGCTGACCGTGCCATCTTTGTGAGTGCCTGGCATGCCCCAGTCCCACATCAACCAGGCGGGCATTCCTGTTTCTTTACCTGAGGCCAACCCATGTGGGCCAGAGGCTCGGACGGGACAGGCAGGATTTGGAGGACGAGGAGGGACCCTCTGAGATTATCCAAGCACAAGACCTTAGGGGGTCAGAACTGGAAGGGAATTTGGAAGCTGTCTGATGCTATCCAAACCTGATGGAGAAACATCTCTTCCAGTATCCTTGTCACGTGCTGCTCCGGCCCATGCTGGCAGACCTCCTCAGGAGGGCTTCCTGACATCCAGCCTAAACCCGCCCCTTAGACCACCGTCTGCTGTCGGACCCCTTCATGGACCAGCTCCTTCATCCTTGAAGAGGCATTCAGGCCCCACTGCCACCCTGCCCTTGTCTTCCAGACTAAACGTTCTCATTTCCTTCAGCCAGTCCAGAGGGAAAACTGAGGAAATGACTTGCTCCAGGTTTGTACGTCCCCAGGATGAGAACCGAGCTCTGCAGATACCACCTCTTGTGCCCGACCTGCTGTGCCCACCTGGCCTGGGTGGATGACCACGCCTTCTCTGTGGCATCCTGGTTGGAGGTGTGACTGGCACCTCAGTGCCAGTGGGAAGTCCCTCCCCGCCCCCTGCTCAGCCCCTTTGTTGTATGTAGTACCCTGGGGACACCCCCAGACTTGGCCGCTACCCATCGCCACTGCCTAGGCAGAGCTGGGAAATGGGGCTAGCACCTGTGATGTGTTGAAAGCACTTTGTAACCCTTAAACTGCTACAGAAACGCGACCTAGTAATATCTGCAATGCAGCCATTAGAGACGAGTGGTGAGAAAGCATGGCAGGCGTCCGGTACCGCACTGAGGAGGAGGCCTCTGAGGCCAAAGCACGCTGTGCCTCATGTATAAAGTACTCCTGCCGCTTGCCTGCCTCCCTAGGTGGAGAGAGTCCAAGTGGGGATCCCCAGGGATCTGGGCTATTGGGACGTTTTTATCTGTGATTTGGAGAAAGGCGTGGACAACGTGTGCATCCATGTGTGGGGGCCAGTGGGCGGGGGGGTGGAGCTCACGCGGGATCCAAATGGATTGTGACAGGTGGGACCATGGCACCGTGATGGAGGAAGGGGAAGCTTGAGGGGGAGAAGCATCTTCTGCTTGATTTTAGATGGAGCAGATATGGGGGGAGGCTTGGTTAGCACTCTGTCTAAAGAGGCCCCTGGGGGATGAGTGGACAGCTGCATGCGGTGGCCACCAAGAGAGCCATGGCAATCTCAGGCAGGCTTCTTGGGACGAGGGGCTAAGCCCTGGGCAGACCACCTCAAGAGTGTGTAGGCGCCCTGGAGTTCTGGAGGAGGCAGCCTCCATGGGGAAGGGCCCAGAGTCTGAGGCAGAGGAAGGAGGCTGGGTAGGCTGAGGAAGGGGAGACAGCCAGGGCAGGGGCTGCTGCCTTGTGGAGGGATGGTAAGAGCAGTCTTGTTTGGCCCCAGGGGGCGATGGCGGGAGCCATGGGTGCTGTGCTGTTGGCTTGGCTTTGGAAAGCTGCCCAAAGTGGAAGCGGCTGCTTTGGGGTGGTCTTCCATCTGACTAGATGTTTTGCAAACCTCTAGAGCACTGACATAGGTCAGCTGTTAATTAGCTCCTAGCCGCAAGCAGTCGGGGCCCTGAAGTTCTAACCCACTAACATGCGATTTGCCCCTTTGGAAATAGCTGCCTTTTCCGCATGGCTCGGACCAAGACATTTTTATTGATCTTCCCACCCCCATGGCCCATGCTGGGAGATGTCAGAAGTAGGGCCTGAAGTAGGCGACATAAAGGAGCTGGTTCTCTCCCAAGCTTCCAGCAGGAAGAAGGGGCCTTGCAAGCTTCCCTGGAGCACAGGGCCGATGGGACGAGACCTCCCTGCTGCTGTGGTCTCCTCCAGCACGGGGGCTTCCTCCCCCACAGGTAGTGGTGGGTTTGGCCGGGCGCCATCTCTTGGGCTGTGGCCAGCCAGCCAGCCGTTCAGAAGTGGAGCCTCTCCGCCCTCCCCCGTCATGTGTTTGGAGGACGCCGGGGTCCAGGAGCACAGCAGGCAGGGTGACCAATGCAGGACTGCGGATGGTGTCGGCTCCTTAAGGAGAGGCTTTGGGCAGCGCCTTCTGCAGCTCGTCTTTTCTCTTTTGGTCGATATCTTCCATTTCCCGCAGTTTCTGCACAAAGGACAGTCAGGGGAGAGGAGCTGCAGCAGCCGCCCACGCCCTCAGGCTGCTCTGAAGCCCCCGGGCCCTACCTGTGAGATCTCAGTAAGGATAATTCCTCGGTACTGCTTGCCCTGTCCGAGGGCCTGCATCTCGGCCAGGAACTCTTGCCTCTCCCGGACTTCCTTCACCACTGTGGAGGAGAGAAGACTCATTCGCACACAGGAAGATGGGGCTGGAGCCCTCCAGGCCCATCCACCTCTCAGTCTCTAAGGCCCTCCCTGAATTGACCAGAGGGAGAGGAATAACCGGCCTGGGCGAGGAAGGGCTGTGTTCTCTAGGGCCGTGGGCCTTCCCTTCTCTCATCTGGCCTGTGACATCGCTATGGACCAAAGGTGCATGAGGGGACCTCGGAAGCCACTTGTGTGACACAGATGGGCTGTGCCTTGCTTGAGGTGGCCCAGAGGAAGGTCAGGATACCCTCGTGGGCCCTGGGCATTCTCTAGTGCCTTACGTTCTTCAAATCTATCTGGCTCTGGGTCCGAGGGCAGAGGCTCGGCCTGCCGAGCAGACTGCTTTATTTTCTTCTTCTCACTGCCGTCCTTCCCGTTGGCAAATATGTCTTGGAGCCGCTCCTTCTCCTTCTCCATGTCTCCTGCAGGTTCCCAAGAAGAGCCCAAGTGTGGGGGAGGGCCTGGGTGCCTTTCACCCCTAAGGGCATCTTTCTCTCTGGGAGAGAGAGGAGTGGAAGGGCTCTGTGTGCTGGGCAGAGACAGGGCAGCGAGTGGTGCCAACGGGCCGGATGATGCTTCGGTGATGGAGACGGACAGGAGCAGAGCTTGGAATGGGAGGCCTAGCCTCAGGACAAGGCTCAGGGAGGGAGGGAGGGAGGAAGGAAAGATGGATGACAGACGTCCTCTGCCCCTGTTGAAGTGGGGTGGGGAGAGAGCAAGCCGGCAGCCCCAGCACTGCCCTCAGGCCCTGCTCAGCTCACCGTGTCTCTCCCAATAAATCTCCTTTGGACACACGAATTTCATGGATTTTGTGTTTTCCCCTTTCCCCTCCTGCCTCACTCATTCCCAGGGGCATTTGCTGCACATGTTTGGTGAGTGGGAGACCTTGCCCAGTTCTCTGGTTCATTTTAAGGAGAATCTTGCAAACTCAGGGGAACTTCCCTGGTTCAATGTCTGTCCTCAGTTATGGTCCTCAGAGGTCAGCAGTGCCTCATCTCCCTATTCTGGGCTACTTCCCCCAGGCCCAGAGCCTTATCACTTACGACAAGGTCTCGGCTTGAACTGGTCTCGGGCGTAGGCCTTATTGGCCTGGCAGACTTCAGCAGGGCGGAGGTGGGGCCTCGGGGTCAAGATGGGCGGCAGACAGAACTTGTTGACTCGCTTGGGCATTGGCTTCTGGCTAGACACTGGATTGCAGCGAGAAGGTAGTGCATCGCCTCCTGGGGAGAGAGAGAGACAGGAATGGAAAGAAGGCCAAGGCCCAGGAACCAGGAGCCCCTCCTTTGGTCGGCCACTTCTTAGCCCCTTCCCCCTCTGAGCCTCAGTTTCCCTAAATGTCTAATAGGGATGGCTGGCCCTTACAGGGCTCCAGTAGCAGATCTCCACCAGTGGAGGGTACTGTCCAGGTCAGCAGAGGGGATGAGGTTGGGGGCAGGAGGAGGATGTGAAGGAAGGTCCAGGGAGGCCAAGGAATGTTATCTACTGAGGGCTTAGGAAGGCACATCCCTGCCCCTGGGCCTCCAGCTGGAAGAGAGCTCCAAGATGCAGGCCAGCCCCTAGCTGAGCAGGACACCCTGAAGTCCTGGCCTCTCCCGCAGAGTCCCTGGAAGTAACACCCTCTCTCCTTGTAGTTTTTCATTAAACTTGGCAACTCCTTAATGCACTTAACCTGATGTCTGTCCTGGTTAATCGTGGCCCTCTACTAGACTGGAAGCTCCCAGAGGGCAGGGCCATGTAGACATCTTTACGTCCTGCTTCTATTACCTAGGTCGGGGTGTTGCACCTAGGAGGCCCTCCATAAATGTGGGCTGGAAGAATCAGTGACTCAGTGTCATTGAGCTCAAGTGGAGGGAAGGAGCAGCTCCACAGACCAAAGACATTTCCCATGACAAGACCAGGAGGGAGTCTTGTCACACAAAGAAAAGCACGGGCTACTAAGGAAGGAAGGATGCTGGGAGCAGCAGCTTTGAAGAAGGAGGACCCCGGCTTCTTCCTGGGAAGGGGCTGGAATGGATGATCCCAGAGGTCCCAATTCCATCTGTAACCCTGGCGCAGGGCACAGGACAGGCAGCAAGGTATAGTGGGTAGGGAGCTGGTCTCTGAGACAGTAACACCTGACATCCTGGCTGGGTGACCCTTTCTGTGATTTCAGCAGCTCTGTAAGGCTGCAGAGAAGGGAGAGGGAATGTCTTCACTTGGGGAGTCTTTCTATCAAAGAAATTACAGGTCCAGCCACGGTACCCAGCCTAGGAATAGCCCAGCTAATCAGTACCATGGGAATTAGAAGGGGTAGAAGAGAGACCAAGGCTATGGCTTAGGCTGGAAATACTTTATTGAAAAGGTGGGATATGAACAGAGTCTTAAAAGATGGGCAAGATTTGGATAAGGGGAGCAGGACAAAGACTTTGGGGAGAAGAGGAACATCCGCAGAGTGGGGGAAACCTGTTTGGCTACAGAGGAGGATTTCCCCAAAGGGAAGCAGTGGGAAAAGGGTTTGGAGAGCCAAGTTTGGGCCAGAGTGTGGAGAACTGTCTTGAAATGGGATATTTCCCACAGAATTCCAGAGTTGGACTGCTTCTGGGGCCCAGTGCCACCTTTACTTCCCACTCTTTTCAGGTTAAGATTCCACCCCAAACCTGCAACCTTCAACAGATGAGTCATCTCCCACTTCACTGAGAAAGGTAAGGCCAACAGAAGTGAGCTCCCTCAAGATTCCTCTCCCAAATCTCCCAGTCAAACCAGGCAAGTGTCCTCTGTGGAAGCAAGATGGGGTGTCTACCACCTTCCCAAACAGACTAGTTCATGGATAGGGGAGATGAGACATCCACAGATGATCCCAAAGGAATCTCTAGGCAGTCAGGGAGAGGTGCCCCCTCCGCTACACAGACAGCCACTGCTGTGCCATTACAACGAAGGGGTGGGGAGGGCAGTGGACAGGTAGGAGGAGGATCGGGGCTTCAAATTACTTTTCATCGAATCCATGAGCTGCCGCTGCTGAAAGTTGGTGAGTTTGGACTCCTCCATCATCACTGCAAAACAAACAGTTGAAATGATTGCCGCTGGGCTTTCGTCCATCCTGGGGCCCTTTCCTGATCAGCCCTTCCTTCAGGGCTGTTCCCCCACTGACCTTTCAGCAGCTGACAGGTTTCTGGGGTGTAGTTGGATTGGGGTGAGTGCCAGAAGCCAGTACCTTTGGCCACAGCTCCTGATTTCCCCTTTGCCGCCATGGCAAAACCCTAGAGGTGGAAAAGAACGTTTCTTATGACTAGCCTTCCCACAGTGTTAGGAGCTAGAGGAGATCTTTTCTTGGAAGCAGGCCTGGGGGCAGCAGTGACTTGCTTAAGATGAGCCACTGAGCGGTGAAGAGATTTCAGGTCTGGTGATGTTGGGTGGAAGTAGAGAGGTCTTGGGAGAGGGAAATGCCGGATGTCCTTAGGCATTAGAAGGGTCATTCTACAGAGGGATGTCCGGTTCTGCTCAGCCCCAGAGAGCAGTCTGACAACCGAGTCATGGGGGCAGATTTATGCTTGTATGTCAGGATACACCCCTAACAATTAGAGCTATTCAAAAGTGGAAGGAAATAGGAGGCTGGACTATCGCTTATCACGGAATCAAGTTGGAGGAAATCATAGTATCACAGATCTAGAATGGGAAGAAATCTCTCCAGCGTTTGGAACCAGCGGTCATTCAGACTTCCTGAAGACCTCCAGTGACAGGGAATTCACTGCTTTCTAGGGCAGCTCCTCTCAGCAGGATGTAGAGATGGGGGATTCCTAGTTGGGGGGGAGGTGGCCTCGGTGGCCTGAGGTTCCCCGCAGCTCTGGGCTTCTGACCCCTAGCAGTCCAGTTTCAGCTCTTCCCAGGCCGGGCCTGATGGGAAGCATCTTCTGCCCTCCAGAGATGTCCGGAGCTGGGGGAACAGGCTGCACTCGAGGCCACAAGGAGAGGCGATCACTGCAGACGACCCACAGCGACGCAGAGGACGAGACTTCCCGCTTATGGTGTCAGAACTATCGCGACAGGCCGACCGGGTCGAGGCGGTGCCACGCCACAAGCCCCCCACGGCCACCCTCCCTGGGCTTCGCCTCTCCCCCAGGGACGGGCTCCGGACCGCTCCAGTCCCCCAACCCGGTCCATAGGGCTCCGAGCAGCTGGCACCTCCAGCTACCATGGCAACGGCCGCTTGCTTCCAGGGCCCCTGGCCCCGCCCACACTGCCATGGCAACTGCCCAGGCTCTAGGCTCGCCTCCGGAACCCTCGGCTCCGCCTCCGGTACCATGGCAACGGCCGAGCCCTTTACCTCCCTCCAGGCTCCGCCCCTTCGCGAACATTCTGGGCCCCGCCTCCGGCATCCTCTTAGCTACGCTCCGCCGAGCTACCTCTCTCAAGCTCCACCCCTTCCGCCAGCGCTTACGTACCCGCCTCCGACCCCGTGCCTCCTCCCCCTCTAGGCCCCGCCTCCAGATGCCATGGCAACACCGGCTCCTCCCCTCCAGCTCTCCCTCCCCAGTGTAATTCCCGGCCCCGCCTCCGCTGCAAAGGACGCGCACCGGGCTCTGCCACTGCACCGGAACAGTCTCGGCTCCCGGATCTGCTTCCGCCTCCGGCTACCGAGGGAACAGCCACGCGCCCTCTCACAGCTATCCGGCTCCTCTTTGCCATGACAACGGCAGCCCCACGCCCCCTCCTGGCATCAGGCTCCACCCCCCTGGCCTTTTACCACCCTTCCTCGCCCCGTGAGCTCGAGGTTCCGCCCCCTCCCCGATCACCGGAAATTTCGTCAACGCTAAGGTCACTGCGCAGGCGCTGGGGGTTCTGGTAGGGCCGACCCGGAAGTGGGTGCTAGAAGTGTGAGTTTGGTCGCTGCGGCGCGAGCGCGAGCGGCGCGTGAGGCCGGGCCCGGGGGCTGGGGCTCTTCGGCTTGTGTGAAGAAAGCGCTGCCCTGGGACAGCTCCTCCTGGCCCAGGCGGCCATTCGGCCCGAGCCCGAGGATCCGCAAGCATGTCTGACAACGAGGACAAGTGAGTGCGGGGCAGGGGCGAGGATGGAGGGGAGGGGAGGGAATGGAGGGGCGGTGGAGGATGGAGGAGGAGCTGGGGGATGGAGGGGAGGGGAGGGCAGGAGATGGGGTGTCAGCGTTAGAGGGTCGGCTGAAAAGTGGTACAGGCAGAGAGGCGTAATAGTGGTCTAGGGTCAGAAGAGCTTGGCTTCACATCTTGTCCGTGATACAAACCACCTGGGCAAGTTTTTTCCCCTCCGTTGGGCTCCCTTGTGTCCTGTGAAATGAGGGGGGTTGGACTCCGTGGCCCTTGAAGGCTCTTCTCTCTGTGGACCTGTTGTTTCCTCTTGTAGAATGAAAGCTCCCAGAGGGCAAGGACTGTTTGGGCTCCGTCTGTATTCCCAGTGCCCAGCATAGCGCCTGGCACATAGTCGGTGCTCAGGAAAGGCTGTGGAGTCGGGGTGTGCTTGGGGTCTCACACCTTGAGCATCCTGAGGCCGGATTGGGGGCAGAGATGCCAGAGAAAGAGGGGCCTGGGGCTCATTTCATCCAGCTCCTGCTTTTTACAGCTGCTGAGTGACCATGCCAGGCTTCAAACCCAGCTTCTCCCATTCTAGATGCAGCCTTCTTTTCCACTCTCCCATCAGCTCCAGGCTGGAATTGGGGGAGGTGGGGGAGGGTGTTCAGCCCTCTCTGAGCACCCAGGTTCACGGGGGCTTTCTTCCTGTGCAGTTATGATGGTGATGACTTCGATGACGTGGAGGAAGATGAGGGTCTCGATGACTTGGAGAATCCCGAGGAGGTCTGTACTTCTCCCATGGCCTCTTACTGCCCCAGCACAACCAAAGCCAGGGCTGGCAGCCAGTGACTCAGGTGCAGGGCATGGTGTCATTCTAATTCATGGCTCTTCTCCTCACCTGGAACCACAGAGAGGGCCACTGAGCATTGAGTGGAACAGCCACCCCATGTGAGCCGGCTAACTGCAGGTTTTTCATCCCGTCTTTTGACTGTTCTCGGCTGCTGGGGCTCTCAGTCCATTATCGCAGGTGAAGCGTCACGGAAGGGACAGGTCTGGGATAGAGTAACTCTGGAAGACAGGCGTCTGCCTTGTGATCAGGATGTGGCAGCTGGATGGGGATTTCATAACAAGAGGACGTTGCCATTTGACCAGTGACGTGGCCAGTCATTAGAATTTTGGTCTGGCAGCCAAAATCTTTTAAACTTTGATTCCTCCAAACTGACTCTGCCAGACACTTGTCACCGCTGTAGTTGTTTACTCCAGTTGGAAAATGGGAAGCAGGCACCTGGCCCTCTCTTGGGAGGGTTTGTAGTCTTACTTCACCATGATCTTTGGTTGAAGTCGCCAGGAGCTTCTAGATCTGAGCCTTAGACTTCTTGCATCCAAAAGGAAACTTCCCACTCTCCTCTCCCTTTTTCTAGGAGGGCCAGGAGAATGTGGAGATCCTTCCCTCTGGGGAGCGGCAGCAGGCCAACCAGAAGAGGATCACTACTCCCTACATGACCAAGTATGAGCGAGCCCGGGTTCTGGGGACCCGGGCCCTTCAGATTGCGTAAGTGGGAATCTCCCTCTTTTGCTCATTCCTCCCTACCCCCATCGACATCTCAGTTCAACAGATACTAAGTTTTCTCTCTGAAAAGCAGCTGGGCATGGTAGGTAAAATGATGAGTTTGAGAGCCAGGAAGACTTGGGTTCAGATGCAACTCTCATGGCCCTTGTCCAACCCTGTCATTTCTAGCTATATCCTCTTGATGACAACTGCCTAAGACCTAATCCACTCAGCTATTAATGGGTTGCAATGTGTTTTTGTGAAAGGACTTCCTACACTAAGGAAATTTTAGGAAATTGACACAGAGTTGAAGTCAGAGGTTTTATTGTTGTTCATTTGTTTCATTCGTGTCTGACTCTTTGTGACTCTGTTTAGTTTTGTTTTGTTTTTTTTTTGCTTTTTGGTGAGGCAGTTGGGGTTAAGTGACTTGCCCAGGGTCACACAGCTAGTAAGTGTGAAGTGTCTTTCCTGACTCCAAGGCTGCAGCTTTGTTCGCTGCCCCACTTAGCTGCCGTATTTGGGGTTTTCTTAGCAAAGATACCAGAGTGGTTTGCCATTTCTTCTCCAGCTCATTTGACTAATGAGGAAACTGAAGCACAGAGTGAAGTGACTTGCCCAGGGTCACACAGCTAGGAAGTGTCTGAGGTCAGATTTGAATTCAGGTCCTCCTGCCTGCAGGCCCTATGCTCTCTTCCCTGTGCCACCAGTTGCCCAAAGTCACCCAGAAGTCAAAGGCCCAGGGCTCTGTTTGATGTGGGGTAAGTCATTTCATTTCTGTGCACCTCACCTTCCTCATATGTAAAGTCAGACTGGACAAGATGAACTGACAGGTCCCTCCCAGCTCTGAGTCTCTGAGCCGGGGCCACTGGCCTTCATGTGTACCCAGCACAGTGCATTCCACCTGCTAGGCCAGGGGTGGGGAGCCTGCGGCCTGCAGGCCACATGTGGCCCTGTAGATCCTCACATGCGGCCCTTTGACTGAATCCAGACTTCTGAGAACAAAGCCCCTTATGGAAGGATTGACAGGTTCCCACCCCCCCCATACTAGGCATTGAACAAAAGGTTATCAAGTGATAGATTAGCGAATGAGCAGGTACACAGAGAACTGACATAAGTGATACCAGCGCGTAGTAGAGATGCAGGGACAAATCCAGGAGGATGAATTTGTTGAAGAAGAGATCCCTCTCCCCTGGAGGATTTGATTGGGGCCTCGAAGGGATGTACTTCCCTGGGCAAAGGGCAAGATAAACGAAGTGGTAGGGAGGGATGAATGAAGGAGTGAGGTATTTATTAAGCTCTTCCTTTGTACAGATCACTGCTGAGCACCGGACAAAGTCAGCCCTGCCCTCGAGGAGCTCACATTCTAATGGAGGAGGCAGCACTGAGGGCAGGTTTCAGCTTCCAGTCAGATGGACGTGTGCCATGGGCCTTAGGGGGCAGCGGTCAGATGTCAGGCCTCATCCCCACTGATAAAATCATCACTTGTTGATGTTGAACGATTTGACGGCCCCAAGACTTTGGGGGCAAGAACTTTCTTTTCTGGGTCTTACGGAAGTGCCTGGGAGTCTATTTTTGGCCACGTTCTGTTCAGCTTTTCTGTCAGTGGTTTGGATGAAGGTGTGATTGTCAAATGTGTAGGAGGGATGACAGGCATATAGACTGAGTCTAACGAGAGGAGATGGAAAGAAATGAACGTTAACCCCTATGTGGGGGTTCAAAATTGTCAGCTAAAGACATCAGAGCAGGAAGGGTGTGGCTAGACCACATGATTGGAAAAGATTGAGGGGCAGAAGGGTTAGTAATTTCATTAACGTGCTGATTTCATTAGCATTAACAGTGTGAAAAGAGAGAGAGAGAGAAGAGGGGGATGAAGAGAAAGAAATGTTTTTATTGTTTGTCATTGTTCAGTCACGTCCAACTCTGTGACCCCATTTGGGAGTTTTCTTGGCAGAGCTACCGCAGTGGTTTGCCATTTCCTTCTCCAGATCATTTTACAGATGAGGAAGCTGAGGCAAGCAGGCTGAAGTGGCTTGCCTAGGGTCACACAGCTAGCATCTGAGGCCAGATTTGAACTCGGGTAGATGAAGAAAAATCGACAGAAACAGAGTCCAGAGGACCTGAGGCTCTGTTGAGGGGGGCGTAGCACCCAGCCCAGGGAAGCAGACAGGTAGCCCCTAGAGCTGCAGCCCAGGGCTGCCCACATCTGCAGGGCTGACTTTCATGCTGAGGCTATGTTTTAGGCAGGATTTTGACAGGCTGGTATTTGTTCAGCAAGTGTGGGATAATGGGGTTGAAGGGAGAGGGGCAAGGAAAACTTGGATTAGGGGGAGGTGTGTGATACCTGTCCTCCAATATCTGAGGCACTGGCATGGGCAGGGGGACCAGCTGCCCTTCACTCTGCTCAGAAGACAGAATGAAGAGTAGCTAAGATCGAGAGGCAGACTTTGGCTCGATAAAATGATGGTGACGGTGTGTGGTAGGAAGAGCACAAGGCAGAGGGGTGGGGGCTGGAGAGCGCCTGTCCCAGCTTCCCTTGTTCCCTGTGGGGTTCGGAGCTGCTCTTCCTTCCAAGGCTTTTCTTGACTTCCTAGGCTTCGTGACGCCAAGACTTCTGTTTTACACGTCTCCGTGTCCTGTCAAGTGTCCAGCTCTGGGCCCTCCGCGGAGGGAGCATTCACGGGAGAGATTGATAAGTTCTTGGCCACGGTGGAGCAAGCACATCTTAAACGGACATTAACTTTGGAATCAGAATAGAAACGGAAGGATTATCCATGGGTCTGCTCACTGGCCCTTCATGAGGTTGGCAGCCTTGGCTAGGGTTTGGGCAGGTGGGCAAGGTCTGCATCGGCTTCAGCCTGCCGCCTGGCGGTCACTGCTGTGTAGGACAAGCCTTGTGTGCGCCACCTGGTGGTCACTGCCCCGTGCTGCAGGCACTGCCCTGTGGTCCTTTTAGGCCTCAGCTGAAAGAGAGTGAGTTTGGAGCGGGTTTCAGTGGACAGCATTGCAGAGTGTGCGTGTTGCCAAGTAGGAGGGCCTTTTTTTTAATAAATGAATTCACAGATGTGGTAGATGTTATCATATAGGTTCCGTAGTGCCTCTGAATGAATGCTTATGTCATGAATTCCCAGGTTCAAGGCCTTTTTCAGTAGTGTCCAGAATATACAGCATGCTTGTTTGTCAGACTGTCGTCTGCTGAGAGGAGGCAGGTCCTGAGTTTTAGAAAGCAGACGTCTGGTTGAAATGAAGGCTTCAACTCTAGATCTGAGGCTGAAGGGCAGACACCTTTTTTTCCTATGAAACATCACTCATAAAAGCATCATCACAAGCCTCATCAGCTACACTTCATTTTGTCGGATCTAGAAGCTTGCCCGATCTGCTGTTCTTATGGGGAAGCCGAGGCCTGTGCAAGTGTCATGACTTGCCTGAGGCAGAGCCTTAGATTGGGGGGGGGGACGGGGACTGCAGCCTGAAGGCCGCAGTTTTACAGAACCAATCCTTTTATGAAGTTTGGATTCAGTCAAAGGGCTGCACTTGAGGACCTACAGGGCTACGTGTGGCCTCGAGGCTGCAGGCTCTCCACGCCTGCCTTAGATAACAGGGTGTTAGAGCTAGCAGGGACCTCGGTGTCTGGCTCAACCCTCCCTTTTCACAGAACAGGCGATTGAGGCCCCCAGGGGGAGGTGACATTTCAGAGGTCTCAAGGTTCATTAGTAAACAATCAGGATTGAAACTGAGACTAAATGAAGTGCTTCTCAAAGATTAAGTGTTAGCCAGTATCATCCTTCTTCTATTGCTCCCAGGCCAGGCGGCTTCTGGCTATAGCCTCCTTAGGCCAGAAAGGCCCAGCCCCTACCCTGATGGGAAATCTGGCCAGTGGAGACAAGGAGGGGCATCTTCTCTCCCAAGTGAGCGGAAGTCCTTCATCAGTCTCTCTTGGGGCCCAGAGACCTCTGCGGAGTTCGGTGGCCTCATCTTTTCTCCCTCCATCAGCTTTGCTGGATTAATTGCGTTGTCGGGCAGAGGGAGTCACTTTCTTCTTGCTGCCTTAGGTTCTGAAGGATGGTGGTTCCTCCAGCCAATAAGTATAAGGCGGTAGTCCAGCCAGAGGCCTCCTATCAGCTCTGGAAGGAACCATGCAGAACTTTCAGTTAGCTCCCCCTCATTTTACTCAGGAAAAGTAGGGCCCAGACCTGGGGAGTGACTTAGCTTGGGCCACACGGCCTCCTGGGTTTGCTGAGGTTTCCTCTGATCTGGTGAAAGGAGAGAAGAGAGGAGGCCGTCCACAGAGCACTCCGTCCCTGGGGGTGTGAGAAGGGGCCCTGCAAGTGACAGGTCGCTCGGACAAGGGCTGATTGTGTGGGACACCCTGTGGCCCCCAAGGGAACCACAGGCAGGTGACTTCCTCCCTCTCTGGCCTGCGCTCCCTGAAGAGGCCTGGACTGGGTACATTCTGGCGGCTCCTCTCATGCCGATGGTGTGAGTTTCCTTTGTTCAACACAAGCATGTGCCTCAGCACCCCAGCAAGGGAGGTGGCACACAGTGTCATTCCCTCCATTTTATAGATGAGCAAACTGAGACTGGGGGTAGCCTACCTGTGGAGGTCTCTCCTAGCACCAAATCTAGCACTTTTCCCATGATGCCATGTAGCTTCTCTTCTAATTTGCTAATGGTGTGATCTTTAATATGCAGGTCGAGGGTCTATTTTGAATTTATTGTGGAATAAGCTATAAGGTATGGATCTAAGGCTCATTTTTCACCTTGTGGTTCAGGAGGAAAGAGAAATCGGATGAGAGCTTGGGCTTGGAGTCAGGCGTCCAGGCTCAGAGCCTGCCCTGCCCTGGAGCTGTAGCAGCTAGGTCATCCTAGGCCCTGGAGCCTTGTACCCCGGCCCCTCTTCCAGGGTGGTTGGGAGGAGAGTGTTGCTCTAATGCTTATTAATAAGACGGGCTCCCTGCCCTTGGGGAGCCTGGGATCTTGTTGGGAAGATAGGATGTGCATCAGTATGAACACAGCTGGGGCCTAGCGTGGCGCTGCCCAGAGAAGGGCAAGAAGATGCATGCGGGCAGCAGCAGCAGCCACCACAGCTCTTGGGAAGACTTCCTGGGGGAGGTGGGCTGTCTAGGTGGCATGGGGAGGATGGTGGGGCTGGCAGAGACCTGAGTGCTGCTTTTTAGGCAGGAGAAAGAGCAGGCCCAAAGGCCCAGGAGAGGCTGTGTGGGCCCTGCCTTGCTGGTGGTCTTCAGACGGCCGTTTCTGAGGGCTTAGTCAGTGAGCAAGCGTTTGTTAGTTGTGTGCTGCTGGGTGTCAGGCACCGTGCTTGATGCCAGGGATGCAGAGACACCGCTAGTCGCTGGGCATTTCTCCTGGGCTCGGGGTGTGTGCACCTGTTGACCTGGAAAGGTCCTCTTGGGCACTCCCCTCGTTGTGCAGAGGGAGAAGCGGGCCCATCGAGGCTGAAGAGGCCTGGAGGCTGGAGACAGCTGTGACTCTGAGCAGCCTCACCCTGGCTGCGGCTCAGTCTCCTCCTGGGTAAAATGGCGGGGATCAGGCTTGTCCCACCTGTCTCAGTAGGAGCCCGCTCCCCAGCCCTTCCATTGTTACTGTCCCTGTGGCTGGACTGTCTTTCCCAGATCCTGCCCGTTTTGGAGGATGCAGCGGTCTTCCTCATCTGCAGTTATCTGGGAGAGAGAGCACACAAAACCAGGGCCAGGAGGGACCTCAGGACAGCTGTTAGTTAGAACCGAATCGGCGAGCTGGGAGGGTGAACCCAGGTGCTCAGAATTAGAACTCAGAGCTGAGCACTGGGAAGGAGGGTCCTAGCTGGGAGAGGCCTGAGAGCGCCCCCATTTCACAGGTGACCAAACTGAGGCCCCGGGGAGTGCCCTGGTTTGCTCCTTGTTCTACGACAAGCCGGTGGCTTCAGACCCCCCAGGGGGAGGGTGCCCATGCTGTCACTTTGTGCCCTGCAGAATGTGTGCCCCTGTGATGGTGGAGCTGGAAGGGGAGACTGACCCGCTGCTCATCGCCATGAAAGAGCTCAAGTGAGTTTTCTGAGAGCCCCGATGGTCCCCTTCTTGCTCCTGCCTCTTGCCCCCATCCCCGGGGACCTCCTCGGCTCTCTGGCCGTCCCCTACAGATGCCCTGTATGGGGTGAGGCTGCCCTGAAAAGGGGGGTTTCCAGAGCCTCCTAGGCCTTTGGCCTGCCCCTTTTCACTTTGGCATTCCGTGCCCCTTCTGCTCTGGCCTTGGCTTGGGCAGCGGGGGGGCTTACTGTCTCTCAAGCCTCTCCTTCCGCCCACAGGGCTCGAAAAATCCCCATCATCATCCGCCGTTACCTGCCCGATGGGAGCTACGAAGACTGGGGCGTGGACGAGCTCATCATCACTGACTGAGCGGCCCTTGCCCCTGCCCGGCCCCTGCCCCTGGTCCTTTCGATGCTCTGTTGTTTTTCTCTATGGATAATAAAGCCTATTCACCCTCTCCTGCTCTCCTTAGTCCAGCTGCTTCCCCGTTGGGTGCCACTGCCAGGCTCTGCGTTGGCCCCCGGCCCACTGCTCCTGTCACCCCTCAGCTCTCTAAGAATCTCTCCAGCCCCCTGCACCCCCCCCAGCTCCTTCTCCCCCAGCCCCGCTGACAAGAGGCCATGGCTGCTGCAAGGGAGGGAGACGCTTCAGCTGCCTCCCCAGCACACAGACGAGCCTTTGTGCCCAGGGAGCTGGTTGCCATGGAAACCTCCAATTTCCTCCGATGGGGACTGACTTCGGGGGCTTCTCAGGAGTATCACAGAGCAGGTCTCATCAAGCCACCCATTGTTTCCTGAGGACCTGCCCCAAGCCCTTATCACCCATCGGGATCCCCTTTCAGGAGCAGCGTCCCAGCAGGAAGCGCAGGACTGGAGGCAGCCTTCCCCCCTCCCCCAGCCCCTCACCTGGCCCTGTTGGGAACCCCCTGGACAAATGAGTGTCCGGCAGAGGGGCTGACACCTGCTTTCCCTCTCATGTACACGTCTCAGGCCCTGGGCCCTGCCCACACCCCCTCTGGGACCTCCGCTTTCCCTTTGGTCTTTCTCTGTGCTGGGGCAGACAGCTGTAGAAGCCGGGTCCTGGCCTCGCTCCTGGCTCTCTCTCTGAGGTGAGGCAGGGCCTCGCCTCTCCACCCCCTTGTGCCATGTGCATGTTCTGCTCCCCCGGAGGTAACATGGGGTGACTGCCTCAGAGGACTGTGAAGGTTCCCTGGGATCACTTGAGCCTTTCTGCCATCCCCATGCACTTTGCCTCGGCCCAGGAGTTGGAAGGACCCCGGGCTGCTTCGGCCAGCGCGGGGAGGGAAGGGATGAGCCGGTTTGAGTTTTTGGCAGCCCTGGTTAGGGTGAGGGGGCAGCTGATGACTCTCCAGGTGGGAGAGGGTTAATCTGTGGAGCTGAGCTGTGGCCTTTGTGGCCCTTCCCCCCCCATCACCCACCCTCCACCCCCGCCCCAAGCTCATGGAATCCTTTAATCACATCGGGCGCTGAAATTTCAGTCCTGAAATGCCGCCTTTGTGCAGGCATCCCGGGCCACCGCCCCGGAGCGCGGGGGTCATTTTCTCGGCCCCGTTTCTTTAAATGGCCTCTTTGTTCCCTGCTGGGCTGCTCAGTATCAGATGTGATTAAAGGGAGGTGGGGTTGGGGTGGCAGGGGGTGGTATGGTTGGAGAAGATGGGGGGGTTAACCCTCAGGGGGCCAGGAGAGAGTTGGATGAGTCCCTGCTGCTCTCCCTGCATCTCTTCCTGGGGGAGCCTTGTTCCTCTGCTGGCCTGGCTTGGGATTTGTCCCTTCCTGGGTGCCATTCAGATAATAGATCTCATGCCACCGTCAACACTTGTCCTTCCACATCCTCTGTGGTTTGGCCCACGCTCCCTTCACCCTCTCAACTGAAACTCATTCAGCTCTTCTCTCCTACGTACGACTAGCGGGAGCCCCTTCTCCACCCCCACCCTTTACCCTCCTCATCCCTGAGGACACTTGTCTTTACATGGTGCCTGACTTCTTTGCCTTATTCTTGTCCCCTCTATTCTTCTATCCATTTTCCCCTCCTTCAGCTAGTGCCACTTCCAATCTCTCCTGGGCCATCTGAGGCATCATTCTTGGGCTCTTGGCTTCCTTAGCAAACTCTCATCTCACTGGATGAGAAACAATTCAATTTAGTTGGGATCCAAGAATCTTTGTCAGTAATTTTTTTTCTTTTAACAAATTTAAACAAAATGTTTAAGTTGCTACATTTTGTTCTTACACAGTGGGGCACTTCCCAACAAACACCCAAATCCCTTTAATAAATGTTTGTTTACTTAACTTGTTGGCTTATAAAGTGCTCTCCCCGAAAAGACAGTGTAATACCATCTTCAAGACTGAAAATACGATTGTCAGTAATTAAGAAATCATGGAGCCCAAGAGAGATACTAAAACTTAGTTCAGGATGGACAAAGGTTCTGATTTTCAAGAAGGGAAAAAAAGTGGACTCCAGGAATTACAGACTGCCAAGCTTAATACTGATCACTCAGGAAGATTCTAGTTTGCATCCATGAACTGATGGTTTCTGGGCACTTAGAAAAGAAAGCAGTGATCATTAGGAGCCAGCATGGATTCACTATGAACATATGCTTTGTGGAGCCCCCTTTTTTGTTCTGTTAGGCTGCTAGATCATCAGAATGCCAGAGATGTAGCATCCTCTTAGGTTTGTTACAGTTTCCACATGGTTAGGTGTGCCCCAGTTTAGCCCAACAGGTGTGAGACTTAAGAGATGGTTAAAAGAATTGGAAAGGTCAGCAGTTAGTAAAACGATAATCCTTTAGTGTGGCAAAGTTTAATTCACTCAAGAAAAGCCAGAGTCCGAAATTCAGGAATCACTTGGAGGCAAAAGTGTTGGAAAATGGGTGCAGTAGAAGGAGAGGTTCAGGGCAGAGGAGACATCGGGGTCTCAGTTGCCAGAAGGGGAGGGATGCTTGGCCATGGTGGTCCTCACACCATAGCAGGAAGAAGGTGGGGATGAGTTGGTGAGAATGCTTGGGAGACGCAGCCCTCCAACAGTACCTGTTTCTTGCCACACTTGAAGCTCCCTGGCCAATGGGTGGATCACCTGGGTCCTTTATCTTTTGCCAGAACAGCTTGCTGTGGTGCTGGAGGCCAGGGATTTTATAGGTCAGGGGGAGGTTCTCATCATCATATCTGCCATGTCCTATAGCACCTTTGTATGTATTGACTCATTTAATCCTCATGATAGGTGCTATTATCATCCCCATTTTACAGATTAATGAGACTGAGAAAAGTGAAAGTGACCTGGCTTGGGGTTGAATTATCAGAGGTGACAGGATTTGCACCTAGGTCTTCCTGACTCCCAACTCCATTGTTCTATCCATGCCAAGCTGCCTCTCATTCACATCTGATTGGTTGTCATTTCTGATGCCACAGGCAGGGAGATGACCCGCCAGTCAAGCAGAGTATGCAAAGATGGGCTAGGAAAGGTTTGGGTTTTTTTTGGTGAGGCAATCAGAGTTAAGTGACTTGCCCAGGATCACACAGCTAGTAAGTGTCAAGTGTCTGAGGCTGGTTTTGAACTCAGGTCCTCCTGACCCCAAGGCCAGAGCTCTATCCACTGTGCCACCTAGCTGCCCCCTGGGCTAGGAAAGATTTTTAAAAAGGAAGAGGGGATAAAGGCAGTCTAATCCAAGTGAGCCTAATGGGTCTCAGGCATCTGCCTCCAGAACATAGACACTTTTTGCTCTGTCATAGGAAGATTTGCAGCTGGATAAAACAGCTGTAGCTCCCCACCCTACCCAGTTGCTAGTATTTTGCCCAGCAAAATTGTGACTCTTCGTGACTCCATTTGGGGTTTTCTTGGCAAAGATACTGGAGAGGTTTGCCATTTCCTTCTCCAGCTCATTTTACAGATGAGGAAACCGAGGCAGGGTCACACAGCCAGTAAGCGTCTGAGGCCAGAGTTTAACTCGGGTCTTCCTGACTCGGCCCAGCCACTTGGCTGCCCCCCTGCAGAATTACCTTGTTTATTTTGCTTATACTTATCTGTTTACGAATTGCTTCCCTCTGGCTCCTTGTAGCTCCCTGAAGGCAGGGACTGTTTCATTTTTGTATCTCTAGCACAGTGCCTGGCATATAGTAGGTGTTTAATAAATGCTCATTAATTGGTTGACTTCTCCATCTACAAAACAAGGCAGTTGAGCAAGGTTGTCCCCAAGATTTCTTCCAGCTTTAAATGTTCATGGATTATGCTAACCTGGAATGAACTCTTCAATAGGAAGAGAACAAGCACTTATTAAATGCCTACTGTATGCCAGGCACTGTGCCAAGCATCATGCAAATATTATCTCCTTTGATCTTCACAATAACCCTGGGTATGATATTATTATCTCCACTTTATAGTTGAGGAAACTGAGTAAAATGACTTGCCCAGGGTCCCACGGCTAGTAAGTGTCTGAGGCTGGGTCTGAGTTTGGGTCTTCCCGACTCCAGACCTGGGGCTCTAGCTGCCAACTAACTACCTCTTCAGTAGCTTGCTGCAGGCCCCTGCGTCAGAACTGGACCAAACCCAGAGCAGGGGGATGAGGATGTGAGGCCACGGTCTGAAAACTACCCTAGGAGGCAGCAACACGCTGGGCCTCGAGCCCGCCTTCCTGGGTGCGAGTCCTAGGTGGGCACACAGGCTCACTGAGCCTCAGTTTCCTCCCCTGTAATTTGGTGGCAGCAGTATTTGGAGGACTTCTCTCACGGGGTCCTTGTGGGCAAACATTCAGTAAACTCCAAAGTGTTAGGCAAACGTGAGCTATCGTTGCTAGGAGAAGTAGTTGGGATGGGAT